TCTGCACCCTACTGGCTGGTGTAAGTCATAGGCAGCGCAGACCCGGGGGCGGAAGAAGCAGACCCCCCAGCGCGCCAGGCAGCAGTGTCCTTTCTGCACCTTCTCCACAGGAGCAGCATTTGAGGTGTTGGCAGTGAAGATGCCTTATGCTTATTAAAGCCTGCTGGGTCATGCAAATTACATGCCAAAGTCCATCTTCAATGAACATATTTCATTCCTTTATTTCATAAATGTGTATTTATTATGGGAAAATTGCAAAATACTGCTTTACAAAAGGGGAAATTGGAAGTCACCTGAAATTCCACTCCCTAAGGAAAACACAGATCTTTGGACTGACCATTCAGCCCCATTTCTGACAATTAAAATTCTTGAGAGACATGTTGCCTTTTGTGAATATGCATTGAAACTCACTCTGGGGAAACTTGGCTGTTACTGGAACAGAGAGGAGGTTACGTTTCATCCTAACTTATTAGCTGTCTGTCTGGGGGATACTAGGCTTCTGCCCCAAAGCTGTGGGGTGGGAGAGATGAATGTGGTAGTGGGAGCTACAGCAGAGGGATGCAGGGGAGGCAGTGGGGCCTCAGGGTATGAGTGGCATCTGGGAGACATGAGGAGAGATAGACCAAGTTCTCACATGTGTGATGCCCCTGAACATCACACATGGGAGATGCACTGAACGTGGGATGAAAAAACATGGCACATCAGGGCTAAAAGACAAAGGGAAAAACTCGAACAAACACAGGCAGGGGAAGAAGCAATTTCTACAAGAAGAGCCTTTGATGAATGCCATGTCCCAGGTTTTGGTTTATTTCCAGATTGGAATTTTATCCTTTAAAAAATCTTTTATCTGGAAAACAACACAAGTATCCCAAACTGCATGAAGCATGTTCAGCTGAGCAAATTATTATAATGTGACCTTCCCTGGAGTCGCTCTTCCATGCCCTGCCCCAAGACAGGAGAGAGAATTTAGCCAGCCGCCCAGAGTGTCTCGCACCCCCAAACCAGCCTCCTGGCATCTACAGCCAACTCCAGCACTATCTTAATTTTCCTTATTGTTTTATGATGCTGTGTGCATTTCTGAATCCAAGCCAAAGTTTTTCCTTTTTAAACCTATGTTTCCCCTCCACGTTGCTCTCATTTCAATGTGTTTGCTTATATACTTTCATGCAGAAGTTGAATGTGTCAGTTGAAGTATAAACACATATTTGTTATTTCAAGAATGAAAGGCTTATACTAATGAATGATTGTGAAAGCTGCTAATTTTATAAGGACAAACAGTAATTAAGAGCTTTGAATTGTTGAATGGGGAAATAGATTGATAGTTAATACAAATACTAAGAAAGAGTACGTTGGCAGAGGCCAGGCACTTGCATGCAGTCTCTAGCTGGGTTCCTTCTACAGCCTTCAGTGGTTGTAGATGCTTCTCTGTAAGTGACAGGCAGGGTGGCTCCAGGGACCTGGACAAGTTTCAGGCAGGTGATTTTCACAGGCCACATTCTGAGCAGCAGTGGAGAGAGGGATCCAGCCCAGGCCTGCCTGGATCAGTGCAGCCTCCTCCCACTGCAGCCCCCAGGCATCCGGGAAGGCTACATAGAGGGACTTTGCATTGAGTTGACAGGCAGTGGCAGCGTAGGAGTTTACAGGAGACAAGGTGGGCAGAAGTGGTTCTGGCAGAGGGAACACCACCTACAAAGACAGTAAAACTCAGAAAAAAACTTGGTGTCTTTGTGTCCACATTTCTAAGAAGTCAGGCAATCTTGTGCACAGTCTCTTGTGTAGAAATGGTCCAACCAGCATCGTTTCCTCTTTCTGTTGTTTCCTAACAACATCAGCATAAATAGGAAGCCTGAGAGACTCGGTGCCCCTGGACGCTCCAGCAGAAGGTTGATCTGTCCCACCACCAAGAGGTAAGACCCAGCTTTGGGGGATAGATTGGAAGGGGAGTGGGGAGCAAGGGGAGTGTGGGGAGACTGGGATGGAAAGGGACAGGGAGAGCCTGGGGGGACTGAGTCGGCAGGGGTGCTCTGGGGACCTTGGGGAGATTAGGGCTCGACCTCTTGACTGGCATTGACTGGGAGGGCCTAAGGGAGATTGCTCGGGGCTCGGGGGGACCCTGCTCCAGGAGCAGAGCACGGCTCTCTGTGCTCTGTCCATCGCTTTCCTCTAAAGCGCTGGGGAACGTGAGAATACCCCAGGCCTCTGTCTCCTTACCCTTCCAGTAGGGACGCTGGAACCAGGTCTCCTCCCCTGTCCTTGGACAAAGAGAAGAAGGCGGGTAGGACCTGATTTGTCCTGTGTCTTCTCCCTCAGGCTCAGGAGGAAGAGCGTGGGTGGAAGACCACACTGCTGGTGAGTCAGGCCTGGCCTCCCAGGCATTGAAGACCCGACACCCCCCGAGCCAGATCCCCATGCTCATCTGGAGCCCAGCTGGAGATGGCACCGAGGTGGGGGCTGCTCCCTGTCGCCCTGCTGGCCCTGTGCTGGAGGTCCAGCATTGCAGGGGACCAAGGTGAACCCCACTGCTCCTTCTCCTTCCCTGTCCCCCTGGCCTGGGGTTGATGCCCCCAGTCCCCTGGCCCCTTCCAGGAAGCTCCCAGACACCAGCAGCTCTGGCCTCCCCCGCACTGCTTTCTTTCTCCCTCGCTCCCCTTCTTCAATTCTCCAGTCTCCCTGACTTTGCCTGCCCCCACCCTCCCTCAGCCCACACTCCTGCTCATTTCCTCTGGCCCTGAGTCCATCTCACTTGTGCGGTGACACTGGACACCTCCAACCTCCAAAAGGCTGTTCCAGACTTTTCTCTGCCCGCCGTCCCCCAGGCACCTGCTCCTCTGATGACCTTGACTAGTTCCCACCTCTGAACTTTTGCTGCTGGGGCCCCTGAGCCCCTTTGCTATCTCCCTGCCCTGGCCCCAGCAGCCTCCCCTGCCTGGAACCCCAGCTGGCTGGTCCTCAGGCTCCTGAGGCCTTGACCCCCTCGTCCAGGCTCCCAGAGAACTTGGCTTCTGGATCACCCTGGGAGCCACAACCTCTTTCCACCATCAAGCTGGGGTGCCCACCGGAGACTGGGGTGGGCAGGGCCAGGAGAAGGCTGTGCCCCACTGCCTCTTGGAGTGGGTTTGAGCCTCCTCCTGGGCTGTACCCAGGAGTCAGGGCAGACCTGCCCTGGGGTCCTGGGATTCTGGGGTCCCGTTGTCCTGGGCTGGGGAGACCCTGCTCCAGGAGCAGAGTGCAGCAAGGCTCAGGACGTGAACCAACCAGAATGTTGAGGTTCTATGTAGATGGGAGAGTCCACACAAGGGTCCTCGCAGCCAGAGCCCCCACCCAGGGCCCCTGGGGAGCCAGGAGCCTCACAGGACTCTGGGGGAGGCCTCACCCCCAGTGCCAGGGGCTGGGAAGGCTGGGTGGGCGGAACAAGGGACACCTGGGGGAGAGGCGTGACCCTTCCTACCTGTCTGGGGTCAGGGACCACCCCGCTGAGGACGCTGCGATGCCACAACGACTACACCAGCCGCATCACCTGCAGGTGGGCGGACACGCGCGCCGCCCGGCGCCTGCTCAATGTGACCCTCCACCGCCGCCTCAACTCGTGAGTGCAGCTGGGCCAGGCCGGGCTGGGGTGCTGGGGCTGTGCCTGCGGGGCTCCCCAAGCACAGAGGAGGGAGACCCGCCTGGGAGCTCGGCTAGTATTGAGGTGGGAGCTGCAGGGGAGACCCTCTCTCCACGGCGATGCTGCTGATGGAGACGGGGAGAACCTCGCGTCCTGACCAGTGATCACAGCACCCCACGAGTGGGGCGGGGTGCCGACGCCCAGGTCACACCCGGGGCGGGCTCGCAGGTGGGCTCCCCCTCCCAGACACATGGGGGTGAGAGGCCCAGGGGACCAGCGTCCTGTGGGGGTCAGGGCTGGGCTCCACATCTCCTGGACCTGCTGCCCCAGGGGCTGGGGTCCTTTCTTCCCTGGGGGGTCTTCAGGACACATGACGCTGGAGAAGGACCTGGCGCCATTCCTAACTCGCCGGCATTGAAAGAGTTAAACAGCTGGTGTCACAGGGTCCTGGGGTCCCCCCACCGCAGGCCCCCTGGGGGGGGGCCCACAGCTTTGCCTTCAGTTCTCTTTCCTGCTCTCCAGGTGCCCCCGCCGTTCCTTCTCCCCGATCCTCAACCCCCCCTCCCCTCAGCTAGCACCTGCTTCTCCTGCACTGAGACCACAGAAATCCCCAAAGTGAAGTCCAAGCCCCCTCCCTGCTCTCACTCCCCCCACATCTGCCACCTCCCTGGACCCGCCCTGCTGGGATCCCAGTCTCAAGCCTGTCTGAGGCCGCAGCTGGGGTCCCCCCGGCTTTGCTGCTCAAGCTCAGACCTGCTACCCTCGTCCCCCTCTGCCCTGTGACACAGCCCCTCTCCCACTTTCACGCCCTGTCACCCAGCAAGCGAGCCAGGCCCCCCTGACAGACGCCCCTGAGGATGGCAGCTCAGTACCCCGTGACCTGCTCTCCTCCAGCTGAGCTTCATGCTCTGCTTTTTTTCTGGGAGACGCTGCTACCTTTTTCCATGTACCTCCTGTGAAGCCACCCCCATAAGGTTTCACCCCCCATGGCAGCCAACCCCCCTTTAGGATGCCTGTGCCTGTGTGCTGAGCCTCTATCAGCATTCCTGCCTCCCTGGTGACCTCTGCAGAGGCGCACGGGAGACCCCCTGCCTTCTGCTTGACCTCAGGACAGTCCACTCTTGGGGGTACTTTGTGTCTCTCTGGCTTCCGATATCCTGCCTGCTTCTCCCTGTGCCCCGCCCTGCAAAGGGTCAAATCACAGCCCGTCCCCTCCCGTTGTGTTTGTACGCAGTTTTCTCCGTGGACACGGGACAGAATACTCACCAGGAGGTCGGCTCTGCAGGCCGGGATGTCCGCGTCCATCACTGCCAGGCCCCCGTCCATGGCCAGGCCCCGTCCCGGGGAACCAGCCAATAACGCTGCTGCCGGAGTGACTCCTCCTCAGGGCTGACCCCCGCTCTCCCCTGGCAGGGACCCCCGTCAGCCAGTGTCCTGTGACCTCAGTGATGACAAGTCCTGGTTAGACGGCCCGTGTCCTGACTGTGTGCCCCAAAGATGCATCATTCCCTACCAAATGTTCTCTCTTGACCGATTGGACTCATTCTCATTCCGCCCAGACCGGCCTCTGAGCACCCAGATCAGCGTCCTTCTGACCCAGCATGGTGAGGCCTGGGGTCCCTGCAGGGGTGCTCCCCTGGTGAGCAGAGGGGCCCAGCCGGCAGGGAGCATGTCTCCCAGGGGAGGAGACCTGCTGGGCTGGGCTCCATCTCGGGAACAGAGGAGGCTCCTTGAGCACGCGCTGGCTCCATTTTTACCCAGCCTGAGCCACGCGCCCGTGAACGCTCCGCCTCACACTCACATGACAGCCCCTGGGTGCAGCCCAAAGGGCTGGGCTCCCGGAGGACAGGGGTCTCGTCAGAGTCACTCAGCTGGTGGGGCAGCCCGCAGCCCAGGCCAGTCTGCCCCAGGCTGGAGCCACACAGGCCCCTAGCTGCCCCCAAGTGGTGCAGCCCCTCAGGGGCCTTTCCCTCCTCCCCTGCAGTGCGACCCCCTGCACCCAAGGACCTGCAGATCAGAGCCTCTGGGGACCAGGTCCTGCTGAACTGGAGCATGGCCCTGGGGCCTCCCGGCAGCCTCTGGCTGTCGGACCTGGAGTACGAGGTGGTCTACAGGCGACTTGAGGACGGCTGGGAGGTAGGGACCTCGGCAGCTCTGCCCAGCACCCCCAGGGAGAGGGTCCCCAGTCCCTGCTCCAGCACCCCTCTCTCCCCACAGGACGCCCTCACCATCTACTCCAACTCCACCCAGGCCGCGCTGGGGCCCCAGCACCTCCTGCCCAGCAGCCCCTACCTGGCCCGAGTGCGCGCCCGGCTGGCCCCAGGCTCGGGGCTGTCTGGGCAGCCCAGCCACTGGAGCCCCGAGGTGCAGTGGGACTCCCCACCAGGTGAGGAGAGGGACTGGCCGGGCTGTCTGTGGGACAGCGGCTCTGGACGCTCCCAGGCAAAGCCAGAGCTTCACAGGGCAGGATCCGAATCTTCTGTGTCCTGGGGTTCCGGGAGCTCTGCGGCCCCCACGCCGCCCCCGCCAGGACTGCAGACTGCGGAGCTGCATCCTGCTCAGTCCTGGGCCTGGTTTTCTGAGTCCCTGCTGCCAAGGCGCACGGCCGCTGCCCATGCCTCCGGGCCAGCTGTCTGTCCTGGAGCTGCCCCGGGAGCGACAGCCCCCACCTTCATGTCGGCCCCGCACAGACACTTAAGTGCTCGGCGCAGGCGGGTGAGCAGCTTCTGGAACGTGCGCGCTGACCTGCGGGCAGGCCGCTGGCAGGTCCAGGGTTCCCTGTCGCCGCTGGGCTCACTGGCCCCAAAGCCCACAATCTGTGCAGAGGCTCCTGGCGGTGCCCGCGGGGGCTGGTGAGGGAAGGGAGCAGGCGAGGAAGCAGGGGCTGTCTGTGCTCGCAGGGGACGAGGCGCAGCCCCAGAGCCTCCAGTGCTTCTTCAACGGGCTCGACGCGCTCAGCTGCTCCTGGGAGGTGAGGTCCGAGGTGACCAGCTCCGTGTCCTTCTCCCTCTTCTACAAGCCCGGCCCCGACAGAGAGTGAGTGTCCACCCCTGCTCGGGTCTCCCGTCCCTGGGCCCCAGCGGAGTCCAGGCTCCTCCCGAGCGCCCCCTGCTGTGTGTGTCCCCCCACCCTTCACCTCCCCCGCGATCCTCAGGGAGAAGGAGTGCTCCCCAGTGCTGACGGAGGCCAGCGGCCCCTACACCCGGCACCGGTGCCAGATCCCCGTGCCCGACCCCGGGGTCCAGGGCCACTACACCGTCTCCGTGCGGCCCAAGGACGAGGAGAAGCTCATCAAGAGCTCCAAGAACAGTGAGTCTGTCCCGGCCCCCAGCGTCTCGGCACGGCGCTGTGTCGTCACGTAGCCCGTGCAAACTCGGGGTGCCCCGTGCTCCAGTCTCCGTGCTTGTCACTTTCAAATCACGCAGTCAGGGAGCCAGAGTGAGCAAACGCGAATCTCCCCCTCACGAAGGCCTGAGAGCACCGGCGCCTGACCCTGGGCACGGCGCGGAGATGCTGCCGGTGACTGCCCAGGAGTCCTCCTTGTCCCTTTCTCTCCTCTCCCTGTGCCCTTCTCTCCCCAGCTCTGCCCTGAGCGCCTCCCGCCACACCTCCCTTTTACTCCTTGACAGGACTGTTCAGGTTGCAAGTGCTGCCCTGGCTGGGGTCCCTGCCGGACGAGGACTGGCCAGCAGGGCCCGGGGGTGTCTAGGGACGGCCGCCCCACGCGGGCTCACGGCGTTGCTTCCTCTCCCGCAGCAGGGCCGGGGGAAGGGCCTCCCGCGCCGCTCCCCATGTCCAGGTCCTCGCCCAGGCCGCGAGTGTGTCAGAGCCCAGCCCAGCAGCAGGTGGTCTCAGCCCCCTGGCCCGCATGCCCCTCTCCCTGGTGCTGGGTGCGGCTGTGACTTCTGCCCCCGCCAGGTCTTAGTTGCCTGTCGCTGGGCCAGTTGCCGAGTCCTCCCGGGCTCCGTCTGCCCCGCTCGTGCGCGATGTGAAGAGCGCCCGCTGGGCGGCTGTGGGGTCGCGTGACATAATCACGCACTCTGAGCACGTGCTTCAGTGCCCACAGGTGGTCAAGACTCTGGAAGTTAACCCACTCATGGTGATTTTAGTTTCACTTTAACCCTCAGAGTCACCCGGTGTTGGGGTCACCTCACTACAAAGCAAGTGTATTTCAGCCTCGCCCCGGGGAAATGCTGCTGAGGTCCAGACAGATGACATGGTGACTCAGGGACACGAAGGCCCTGAGATGGGTGGCATGTGAGGTCCTGGGCCGGGGACACACCTGTGACCAGCATGCAACACCGGCACGTTCCCCTGGAGGGATGGTAGGAGCCACGTTCCCTAAAATGCCCCCTCCCCGCAGTCCAGCTGGCGCGCCCCACCATCAATGTGACCAAGGGTGAACATGGGTACATGCTGCACTGGGAGGCAGAGAAAATGCTTCGCCACATCGGGCAAACCTTCCAGGTCCAGTACAGGAAGGATGCAGCCTCGTGGGAGGTAAGGGCCTGGGGTGGTTGTGTCTGCGTGGGAGAGGGGGAGCCACTGCACCCCTGTATCCAGGGGCTTGGCGCTGATGACACTGTGTGATCAGCAGGTCAGCAGGTGAGGGAACTGAGGCCGGGAGAGGGGATGTGACTTGTCTGATGCTGTGTTGCAAAGGGGTGCAGAGGTCAGGGAGGGGAGGCTGAGAGATGCCAGGATGAGGGGTTTGAGACGATGTCAGGTCCTGGCACATTTCTTCAGAAGAGGCCGCTCTGGGACCCTAGCGTGCAGTTTGAGCAGAGCTGATCCTGATGGAGCAGTCAGGGCCCAGGCACCAGGTTCTGGCTCCAACCCCTCCCCCAGGAAGCCCTCAGACTTGCATGCAGGACAGAACCAAAAATGACACCTCAGAGTGTGACCAGTCTTTTAGGCTGGAAGTGGGAAACAGGGCAGGAAGGACAGCTGGTGCAGCGGGCATCAGCCTTGGCATCCAGGCCGCTTGCCAAGCATCCAGAGTCCAGCCACCCCACTCTGCCACTCAAGGTGGACATAATTGTGGTCCTGGCTGCCGCAGAGGTGATGTCGACTTAGGGATTCTCAAAGGGGGGGTGTCAAGTTAGGGTGAAATCAGGAGCTGTCCATGCCTCAGTGTTGTCACCTGTGAGGTGGGCAGGGCATGTGGGGGCACAATGGCAGGATCCCTAGCATGGGGCTGGGTGATGCTCGGGCAGGTGCTCTTGTCCTGGCAAAAGATGCTGCTGCAGTGGAGGAGTCCACCCCGCCTCCCCTCCCCTCTGCACCCACAGGATGCTGAAGATGATATTGTGCTGACCATACACCGCCTCACGCTCTCACGGCTGGCGCCGTCCAGCAGGTATGGGGCCAGGGTGCGGGTCAGAACCAGCTCTGCGGAATACAGCAGCATCTGGAGCGAGTGGAGTGCGGAGTGCACCTGGGACACAGAGTGGGGTATGTCCCCCCTCCACCACCCTACGGCACAGTCCCGGCAACAGGGGTGAGGCCGGCGGGGAGCACCAACCCCAGGCCCTTGTTAATCTCCTCTCCACCTGGGCCTCCTGCCCTCCCTAGCGGGAATCAAGGACGTGCGTCATCACAGACCAAAGCTCGCAGGCCTGGCCACAAACTGCAGGCCGGGCTTGCACAGTGACCTGCCTGCACAGCTGGTTGTTCTCGACATCCCCTAATGAAGCAACCCTAGGAAGGGGCCCCTGTAGTGCACTCGTGGGCACCACGCGACAGGGCTTCTGCAGAGCGGGACTGAGCAGGTGCCTTTGCTCCACAGGCACCTGCTAACATGACCTTGGGCTAACCTTTGCTGCCACCTCTGCCCAGGGACCTTCCCCTCCCTTTGAGCCCCCAGCCTTTCCCGCCTAGATGCTAATGGCCTTTTCCTCCCGGATACCCCTTAGTGCTGCCCACGTGGGCTGTGCCACTCCTCCTGGTCCTTATCACTCTTGCCTTGCTCCCTGTCCTGCGCTTCTGTGGCACCTACTGCTACAGGTAAGGGGACCCCGTGGTGGGCGGGGAGTGGGGTACCCAACATCCCAGGGGCTGTCATGACACCAGAGCCCACTCACCCAGATTCTGCTCTGTTCCCCTCTTCCTGTGGGGCCGTGGACACGTGACTGCCTCGTCGTGGGCCTCGGTTTCCTCTGCTTGGGCGCGGGGCAGTGGCCCTGAGGTCCCTGCTGCTGTCACCTCCCCTTTGTCTTTCCAGATTGACCCAGAAGTGGGAGGAGAAAATCCCCAGCCCCAGCAAGAGCCACCTGTTCCAGGTAGGATTTGATGTGAGGGCACTGGGTGGCCTGGGCTCCTTGTGGTGCCCCTAGGCCACGGCCACATGCCCCCCACTACCCCTCCCCATGGGCTCTGAGTGATGACAGAGGTGTCAGGGGGCGGCCGGCAGCTCTGAGAGCCGGGCCAGGACCGCAGCTCAGCCCTGTGAGCCCCAGGCCCTGCCCATGCAGCAGCCCTGACTGCTGCGCTCGCTTGGAGAGGAGCATCCACTGGGGCCCACGGACTCCCAGGTGGGCTCAGGGAGGGGTGAGTTCTGCAGGGTGGACATCAATCTGGGGGACACCTGGTTTCCCTACGATGACACTGGGGAGCTGTGCTTTGGGGCCCCAGGCCAATGCAGCTCCTCTCTGGCCTCTCCCCTCTGGGGTGGGAAGCGCAGGCCGGTCCACACCATGCTGAGACCCCCCTGTGTGTGGGTGGGGGCTCACTGGATCCCTGTCACCCCACAGCCCTCCCCTCTTCAGCAACCCCCGGCACCCACACCCACAGGCACACATTCCTTTCTCCCCAGAACGGGAGTTCAGGGCTCTGGCTCCCCAACAAGGTGCAGGTCCTCAGCGGCGGGTGCCCCCAACTCAAGGGGCCCTGGAACAGCCTCATCCTGGAGCCTCAGGGGTGAGTATGTGGTCTCAGGGTTCCTAGGAGCCTGAGGGGCACCCAGCCATGCACACTGTGGCTCGGAGGAGAGGCCGCTGCCCAGAGCCCTGTCAGGGTCTGCACCAAAGCAGGGGCTGCCCAGTGGGTGGGAGAAGCGCACAGGCCCCAGGCTAGTGAGAGAGGGCCTGGCTCAGGACTCAGCCAGAGGCAGGAGATGGAGCATTTGGCCTCCCCCCAGCTCAGGAGCCCCCACACTGCCTCGGCCTCCTGAGGCCGCTGACCATGGTGGCCTGAGCACCTCTGGGCAGCTCTGCTGGCCCCCCCCGCCCCCCAGGACAGCGACGCCTGGTGGTGAAGGCAGGAGGGAATGAGGGGGCTGCACGGGCTGGGGTTGACCTGGGCCTGAAGAAGTGAGGGTGCCAAGGAGCAGAGGGGAGGGGGCCTCACCCGGCACAGGATGACCCTGAAGGCGGAGACCCCCGAGGACACAGGTGACCCTCAGCTTTCCCACTCTGGCTGCTCCCCCGGCCCTGCTCTGTGCTCTCAGGACCCTCCCCTCAGAGGCCTCGCATGCAGGAGCCAAGGGTGTGTCCAGGGGCTCCCAGCATCTGTGCCCCTTTCTCCCTACAGCGTGTTCCCTGTGGACTTCGGGCGCAGCGAGGTGTCTCTGCTCACCACACAGGACCCTAAGGACGCCGCTGACTCCCCTTGTGAACCTGACACCAGTCCAGCTGCCTCAGACCCGCCCATGGCGCCACCCCCCAGTGCCCCACAGGGCCAGTCCACCCCCTCCAGCAGACCTAAGAGCCAGGCTTCTGGCTTTGACTTCAATGGCCCTTACCTGGGCGCCCCCCACAGCCGCTTCCTTCTAGACATGCTGGGCTCACAGCTGCCCCCACAGGCCAGCTTGAGCCACAGGACGCCCCCTCCAGGGTCCCTGGAGTACATGTGTCTGCCTCCGGGGGGCCAGGTGCAGCTGGTCCCGCTGGCCCAGGTCATGGGGCAGGGCCAGACCCCACATGTGGACAGCAAGCCCCGTCCAGGCACGGAGGGGAGCCCCTCACTGCAGTCAGGCACAGACCCTCCCCACTCTGCTCCTGGGTTCACGACTGGGGCAGTGGGCCCCAAGGACAGCCCCCCAGCTGTGTCCACCACCTCTGGGCACCCTGAGGACAGCATCAGGGCCTCTGGTTATGTCACCCCTGCTGACCTGGCTCTGTCCCCTCCCATGGGGACCTGGTCTACCTCCCAGTCTCCTCCTCTGGGCCTCCCCTCCTCAGAACTGCACCCCAGCCTCTGTCCTGGCCTGGCCAGTGCCCCCCCTGGAGGCCCAGCTCCTGTGAAGCCAGAGCTTGAGGGCTATGTGGAGCTTCCCGCAACCACAGGCCAGCTTCCCACATCCCTCGGGTCAGTTCCACCCCTCTTGTCCCCAGTAGTCCTGTCTTGAGCCCAGGGCAGCCCCCAGCAGATGTGACTCCGATCTCCCCACACCCCGAGGGGTCTAGTCCTGCAGCCAATGGGAGACTATATCCTACCTTCCAGCTTTGGGGCCTGCCTGGAACATCTCCAGGGCAGCCCCTCACTCTCAGAATGGGGAGTCCGGGTAATGTTGCCGGCTAAGCTATCCCGGCCAGGCCAAGTGTGATGCACCAGGTGTAACTCTGCTCCAAAGCTCCAAAGCCGCTGCAGGATCAGCACCCAGGAGTGACAATGGGCTGGGACTGGAGGGCGCCCAGCGAGCCTCAGCTGGGGTTCTGACCTGCTTTCCCTCCTGTTCCATCCGTGGGCTCCTTCCCATGATTTCCTGTGTATCTGTCAAGGCCAGTGGTGAAAATCTGGTTCTCAAACTTTTCTGTGGCCAGAATAGTGGCAGTGTTTCTTACAGTGCAAAAGGTTTGGGGTCAGCGGGTGAGTTTATATTTATAAAGAGTTGCCAGGTGATATGGATACCTGTGGCCTGGGCACCCCAATTTGCAGAAGAAAGTGTTAACAAGATCTTCCCTCTTCCTTCACTCTGACTGCATCTCATGAATGATTGGATGTGACTGTCATCACGCCCCATATCTGCATTATTTAACTGCTACCTAACAGGCAGGATGCTGGTAATCAAGATTCATTATGAACAATTGAGATTCTTTTCTTCCCCTTTATTACTGATTTTTGGTTTATTATATTGTGACAGAAAATGTGGTCTGTAAAATTCCTACTCTCTGGAACTATAGTTTTTTTGGTTTTTTGTTTATTTATTTATTTATGCAAGCACTGGGTACAGTCAACAGTGCAGGAGGGTGAGAGAATTCACCAGAGCCAGAGCAGGGAACAGAATAGGCAGACTGACAATACACTGCTGAGGGGAGCAGCGGGCGGCAGGAGAGGTCTGCGCGCCTTGTGGGACCCTCGCCTGGCGGCGGGGGATGGAACCGGCACTGCAGAGGCTGCGGGCAGCTTCGCAACCCAGCGCTCAACCGCTGCGCCACCGGGGAGGCCCTGGAACTATAGTTTTCTTGTGGATATCTAGATCTATCTCCTCCCTAGGAATAAGAGAAGAAAGCAAGAAAGGTTGGTCTTTCTATATTACACACACCTAGATATTATACATTTACATCATCTCACTTGTTAGTGATCATCATGTAAGTGGCAGGTTTACGAAGAGTGAAGAGCGCATTAGCTCTGGCGCTATAGCTAGGTTGTCTGGGTTCAGACTCCAGCTCACCAACTCACTGTCCACAGCAAATTCCCAGCCCTGTCTGTGCTCTGCTGCTATCTCTGTAAATGGGATAATTATAAGTCCATCTCCTGAGGTGGCTGGAAGGATAATAGAGTAAAGGGCCTGAGTAAACGCCAAATTCTCTCTAAAGGTCTCTAAAGGTCAGTGTCTATGCAATTTCTTTCATTCATGGAGCGCATAGTTGCAGTTCACTCCTTGCCTTGAGCCAGCTAGCTGCCTGCTTCCGTGTCATCTGTTTATTTATTTAATCTATGTGACCTGCCAAATATATAGCAAATGTATTACATTTTTTAATTTTTTACTTTAATCCAATTCTCTAAAATTCATGAGGATTTGCCTTCCACTGTCCAGTTATCCTACGCTGTTCAACTAAAAAGCTTTGTGTGCATAGTCTTGTCAAGATTATTTTTTTTCATTGTAAATATACTTTTTGGTCCTATTTATTTTGCTTGGCCTTAAATCTTATTTCACCTGATGCTAGCACTGCACTTGCATGTTATTATTGTTACTGTTAGTAACTGGCTTTCTAGATCTTTTCATGACACCATTACCAACACTCTAGTCCCTTTTGGGGTGAGCGTCAAACCAGCTAGAGCCTCCCACCCTGTCTGGGATTCCTTCCTTGGTGGCTTTGTTTGCTTTTGTAGTGACAGTGATCTTTGATTTTGTCTCATTTTTCCCTTTTCCACTTTCCTTGCTTTTGACACACTAACATACTTTTTAAAATTCTGGTCTTATTTTATGCAAGGAACACAAAAACATGAGACGATGTCAGTTTGAAAGCGTGCAGAGAGACATCCCAGGGTCCTTCCTGCCTCAGGATGCCCGGGATGTGGGTCGTTGAGTGTGTTCTCAAAGCTTCCCTGTTGGCTTTATCCACCTGTGCGGGACTGGCTACTTCCTTCCAGCCTCCTGCGAAATGTGAACCTACTCAGAGGCTTTTTCTAAGCCCGGCTGTTTTCAGTGTACAGCAAGAATAGTCTTTCATTCAATGTTATTTTGTGTCTCTTACACTGATGAGGAAAAAAAAACATACAGGCTGACCCTGAGTGACAAGAACGGCATTATCCAGGATCTGAGACCGTCACACGTGGCTTCCGTCACAGCAGTTCCCAAGCAGGTACGGAAGACAGGCAACAAGGGCTTGCTGGACTTGGAGACCTTCCCGTGATGTCCGTCCGGAGGCCTCTGGATGCACATACCACATCACGCGGCTCCCGCTCCAGGCAGCGGTTACGGGACTGGCTGCTGCCTTTTGTGAGGTTTCTAATTCTGGAAACAAGTGATGTTGCAAGTCATCTACACTCTCCTACCTTAGGATATGGGTCCTGACTCGTTTCAGAAACCAAATAGCAAGGTTGAAATGTATGTGTTTTTCATTCTGCTCATTAATCTCTAAAAAACAAGTTCCCTGCTGTAGGGTAAAGAAAATGTCAGGCTTTTCTGCCCTTCCGCCATCAGGATAGATGATGGATCCTTGTCCTGAATGCATGCCTGATGGCGGGCACCTGGAATAGGGTGTGGGCATAGGTAGATGGGATTCAGCTGAGTTAAGACTGCGCTTTTAAGGGCGGCGTCACGGGGGGACGCCAGCAGCAGCAGCAGCAGCAGCAGCAGCAGCAGCAGCAGCAGCAGCAGCAGCAGCAGCAGCAGCAGCAGCAGCAGCAGCAGCAGAGCAGCAGTAGAAGCCGAAGCAGAAGCCGAGAAGCAGCAGAACGAACGCCAGAGAGCCCAGATAGAGTGAAGACTTGCTGGGGGCTGGGAGGCCTGCCAGCCTCCCAGCCCCCCAGCCAGCACCCCTGCCTGCCATATGCCTGGTGAACCCCAAATAAAAAACCTGCAAAACTACTGAGGACTCTGACTCCTCCTTTACCCGGTCTGCATGGGATCAGAAAACCTGTATTGTGCCCAGTTCCTGCCTTTACAATTGGCGTAAGTCGGCAGGATCCATGCAGACGGGTATTGGAGCCCTCCGAAGACCTGGAGGGACTAAGGAGAACAGACTGTTTGCCTGTGATGACGCTGGAGGTGCCATGGCGGCACAGAAGGTGGATACGGTCCGGAGCTGTGGGACGAGACCTCGCATGGAGGAGACGCCCGAGAGGACCAGGCAACGACACCGGAAAGGACCAGCCAATGACCCCTGAGGCAGCAGGCCGCTGCTGACGCAGGGAGAGGCCAGTGGACATGGACTGATAAACTTGGACTGGCAATCCCGCCAGAAGGCGGAGGACCTTGGCAGGTTATGTTTTTTTTTTGAGAATCTGGGGGTGGCCAGTGGGCCTAGATGGCCAAAAGCAGCCTGTGCATGCCCAGCAGCCAGGTGGAGGAGAAAAGCCAACTGAGAAGGCAAAAGCTGGTGCTGATGCTAAGTTGAGAAGCCCTGAGTGGCTGTTAAGCAGCCTGGGTATGCTGAAGACCTGTGAGTCTCATAAAATCACCTGTGGGTGATGCCCTGCTCATTCTTGAGTGAGGGTGAGGAGTTGAGGAACCTGTCCTTGGGGGACGGGTGGGGAACGTGGCTTGGGGTGGAGCCCAAGCCTAATGCAGAGTTTGGATCCCCTACCCATGTGCTTGTGCAGTGGGTTGGCCTGAGTGCAGGGGGATGCGAGTCGCATGGGTGGCCATGAAGGCCGAGTGTTGGAGCGACTGCAGACAGAAACCCTGAGGGTTGGCGATTACCCCCAACAGAATAAAATTGCCAATCCCAGAGCGAGTGCATCCTGGGGGTGGATGCGGTGTGTGCCTTGTGGCCGGGACTACAGACAGAGAAGGCCAGGAAGCCTGACGGCTCCTGGTGTGATATAGTAGATGCCGTGAGTGGTTCCCCTCCCTCGTATGAGCAGTGCCTTCGGCAGCAGATTTGGTGGCTCATCTGCTGGTACCAATAATTGTCTTTTGCACTAGGTTGGTGCCCTGCCTGGACTTATTTGTGCTCTGTTGTATTTTGTTATATTGTATTTTGTTATATTTGATGTATTTGCTTTTGTGGGCCATGGCTGCATTGTTTGTTTGCTTAGAAAATTGTATATATATGTATAGACTGTATGGCAGAAAACCCTGAGGGGGTGGACTGTAGGGTAAAGAAAATGTCAGGCTTTTCTGCCCTTCCGCCATCAGGATAGATGATGGATCCTTGTCCTGAATGCATGCCTGATGGCGGGCACCTGGAATAGGGTGTGGGCATAGGTAGATGGGATTCAGCTGAGTTAAGACTGCGCTTTTAAGGGCGGCGTCACGGGGGGACACCAGCAGCAGCAGCAGCAGCAGCAGCAGCAGCAGCAGCAGCAGCAGAGCAGCAGTAGAAGCCGAAGCAGAAGCCGAGAAGCAGCAGAACGAACGCCAGAGAGCCCAGATAGAGTGAAGACTTGCTGGGGGCTGGGAGGCCTGCCAACCTCCCAGCCAGCACCCCTGCCTGCTATATGCCTGGTGAACCCCAAATAAAAAACCTGCAAAACTACTGAGGACTCTGACTCCTCCTTTACCCGGTCTGCATGGGATCAGAAAACCTGTATTGTGCCCAGTTCCTGCCTTTACACCTGCAAAAGAGTTAAGATTACCTGGCCTAAAGAATGAAGAGACGAGACATGGCCTGCGAAAAAACACTTGAAAAGACATATCTGAGAAAAGACGCTTAATTCAAAATATTGCAAGAACTCTGAAGACTCCACAATAAGAACACAAAAAACCAGATCGAAAAATGGGCAAAAGGCCCAGACATGTGCCCCAAGAGAACAAGTGCCATTGGCAGGCAAGCACAAGAAAGGAGCACCCCGACCAGGGAGCAACCCACATGGCGCAGCAGACCTCTCCTGACTCCCCGCTGCTCCCCTCAGCAGTGGATTTCAGTCAGTCTGCCTGTTCTGTTCCCCACACCTCTGGTGAATCCTCTCACCCCCCACACCTCTGGCCTGTATCCCAGCTCTTGTATGCATAATAAATAAATTTTTCAAAAAAGGAGCTTCACATCATGTGGAATGAGGGGTTAGAGGGGCAAGAACACCACAGCAGCCGCCACATGCTAATAAAATGGCAAAATTTCAGAACTGTCAGCAGCAAATCTGGCAAAGACGTGGAGCAACTGGAACTCCTTTCTGTTCTGGTGGGAACAGCAGGACTGGCAGGTTAACTGAGAAGGGAAAGACCAGAGAAGGTAGAGTTTAGTTTATGGGGGGCTTAGAGAACTACCCAGCCCCCCATTCTATTTTTAGCTCACAGCCCCAGGGCTAGGGAGGCTCCACTTGAATGTGGCCAGCACATCAACACGGCTGGAAACCCAGGGAAAGAAGAGGTTCTATCTCACTGCCGCGCAGTAAAAATTGACTGTTCATCAAATGAAGGCTATTGTAGCAGCAGGAAGGCACAGAGCAGGATCTCTGTGACTGGAGCAGACAGGTGAAGGAGGAGTCCTGGAGCCATTGGTGGCTTTTTCAGGCTTTTATTGGGATTATTACCAGGTACCTGGCAGGCAGGGGTGCCGGGGGGCCAGGAGGCTGGCAGGCCAGGCCTCCCAGCCCCCAGCAAGTCTTCACTCTTCTGGGCTCTCTGGCATTCTCGCGTGGCCTCTGCTTCTCTGCTCCTTTAGCTCTTGTTCATTCTCCTTCTGGTCTCTTTGGCTCTGCTGTTCCACTCTCTCTGCTCTACTGGTGTCCCTGTGACGCCGCCCTTATAAGCCCAGTCTCAGCCCAGGTGAATCCCATCTACATACGCCCACACCCTACTCCAGGTGTCCGCCATTAGGTGTGCATGAAGGACCACAGGGATCCATCATCAACGCTAATGGTGGGAGGGCAGAAAAGCCTGATAAACACCTACCCTATAGTGAGTCTGTCTTTCATGCCCCTTCCTGGCCACTAGCTTCCTTCATGCCCTCCTGGGACTTTCCACAAATCCTCCTGCTTCTCCCTCTGTTAGCACAGCAGCCCCACTGTTTCCTGACCGTCCCCAACTACCTGTGGGGCTTCATAGACCGAAGGCCCATCTGTTGAACAGAACAATCCTCCTTAACACCACGATGGTTTCCAGTAACACACTTCCCCAGCCCAGCATAGGGACACAAGTCTGGGTTTGGCTTTATAATAAAAATATTTTATTGCCATTTTCCCCCCAGTTAACAATATCCAAACCATATAGAATTAATATCTTGGACTTCTTTCTAATACATGTACATCCATCGCACTCATTTCAAATGCAGGATTCTACTTTAGAATGTTCTAGAATGTTGCTGTAGATGTCAATATTGGTGAATGTTTACATTGCTTATTAATATTCTTCAATCACAGTCATTGCTGTACCAAATGGGTATTTGTGAAGAGTACTCACAAAAGTTTTTGCTCTGCCTCAGGTTAACACATCATAAAGCTATGGGTGTCATTGAGAGAATGATGTAATAACATTGCTTAGAAATCAACATAGCTTAGAAATCAGCTCTCTATATATGGACTTTCTGGATCACAATGGTGGCAATTCAGAAGAAGAAGGTGGCAATTCAGAAGAGATTTGACAAAGGATGTAAAAACACCTGCTGGCTCCTGTGAGTGAGCTCCCCGCTCACACGCAGACATCCCAAACATCCTTAAGTAAAGCTGAAACACAGAACTAGGAGAAAAATGAGGACAAATGCCCGCTTGGAGTGGGGAGTGTAAATTTGACACCAATAGTGGAACTGTGAAATCTGACCACAAGGTGTGCCCACAGACGCCTGCGGCATGAAATTCAAGACAAGCACAAACTAGGAGAACAAAGCTGCGACCTCCAGGTGAGGCCATATGTTAATAGTTCATCAGAAAAAGAGGAACACCTGACAGAACAGTCCTTAATGAAGCCCAGTAAAAAAAATACCAACAGACAAGAGATGTGAAGTTATGTGCAAACTTGAGAGTTCCCTAATAACGCAAAATCAAACAACTTAATGCTATTTTTTTTTCCTATCAGAAAGGCAAATACTTAAAGGAACCATAAGCCCCAGAGCAGGTCCAGACACAGGCCAAGCACCCCTGGCCCACGGCTCTGGGGCTGGGTGGGGGAAGGTCTTTCCTGGGGAAGGGCAGCTGGTGATTCAGACAATAGGCCTTAAAGTATATGTGTGCCCTTTGATCATTTTCCTTTTGTTGAGCAGTTGTGTCTAACTCTTCCACAGTAGGCAGGGGTTCCAGAATCTGTCCTCCCGAACCTCCCCAGGCCGCACCTGCCTGGGTATAGAAGGGCATCACTCCCTGGCCATCCTGGGTGTAGCAGGGAGCCGGCTCCACAGGCTGCTCTGGCCCTTGGCCTGTCTGCAGGTCCGTGGTGCCGGGCATGCAGTCTTGAGACTCCCCAGTCACCTCGGGGTGATCCACAGGGCTTCCCCAGAGCTCAGGAACGTTCCTCCCTTGCATGTCCTCTATCATGCAAACTTCGTGAAGTGGCCACAGAGATGGTGCCTGGCTGCCACATCAGGGCTACACTGGCCAGTCCTGGGCTTCTCCAACCCTAAGCCCCAAGGCCCTGCCTGGGCCTCCTGCCTCCAGCACCTGCCCTGGCGCTGTGTCACCTGCGTGTGATGTGTCACCTGCATCAGGCCCCCAGAGGGACAGACCACAGACCCAATCCTCCGACATACCCAGAGTCAGATCTGAAGGAAGCCTGACTGACATGACACCACAGAACTGACTCAGCTCAGACCTCAAACTCACCCTAATGATAAGTAGTGGAAGGAGCAGAGGACAGCTGGTGAAGAACACGAGAGCGCGCGAGTGAGTGTGCGTGGTGCAGTGAGACTCAGGCCCCGGCCTACGTGAAATCCTAATAATAATGAGTGTGTGCGTGTGGGTGTGTGTGGGAGAGAGAGGAGAGAAGTGATGGGCTGAAGGTCGAGAGGGGAGGTGGAGGCTGATCCATCTCCCCAACTCATCTGGTCCGGCTCGGAGGCTGCCCCTTGGCTTTGCGGCCAGGACCGTGGAAGGCAGAGGGCCTGCGGGACCCAGGAGGGCAGGAGAGAGGACAGGCCTCTCCTCCACCCTTGCTGTGGGTTAGGGTCTCAGCACACTTCTCCCCGCCTGCTCACATCCCAAGGAGGCAGAGACAGGTAGTCCTGCTGCTTCAGGGCTTTGAAGAGCTGAATGGCCGGCAGCTGCGGTGTGGCCTGGCACCAGGGCTTCTTGTTCTGGAAAACCTGATCCCGAATCTCTGGACAAGGGTCCGGAGAAGAGGGCTTGCTCTTGGAAGAGACAGGGCTGTGGGCCAGGCCAGGGAGGAAGCAGTAGTCTCCCACTTGTTGCAGGACCAGGAGCCCCTCAGAATGTGGGGAGGTCAGGGTCACATCTGCTGGGGGCTGCCCTGGACTCAGGACAGGACTACTGGCGACAAGAGGGGTGGAACTGACTCGAGGGGATGTGGGAAGCTGGCCTGTGGTTGGGGGGAGCTCCACATAGCCCTCAAGCTCTGGCTTCACAGGAGCTGGGCCTCCAGGGGGTGCACTGGCTAAGCCAGGACAGAGGCTGGGGTGCAGTTCTGAGGAGGGGAGGCCCAGAGGAGGAGACTGAGAGGTAGACCAGGTCCCCATGGGAGGGGACAGAGCCAGGTCAGCAGGGGTGACATAACCAGAGGCCCTGATGCTGTCCTCAGGGTGCCCAGAGGTGGTGGACACAGCTGGGGGGCTGTCCTTGGGGCCCACTGCCCCAGTCGTGAACCCAGGAGCAGAGTGGGGAGGGTCTGTGCCTGACTGCAGTGAGGGGCTCCCCTCCGTGCCTAGACGGGGCCTGCTGTCCACATGTGGGGTCTGGCCCTGCCCCATGACCTGGGCCAGCGGGACCAGCTGCACCTGGCCCCCCGGAGGCAGACACATGTACTCCAGGGACCCTGGAGGGGGCGTCCTGTGGCTCAAGCTGGCCTGTGGGGGCAGCTGTGAGCCCAGCATGTCTGGAAGGGAGCGGCTGTGGGGGGCGCCCAGGTAAGGGCCATTGAAGTCAAAGCCAGAAGCCTGGCTCTTAGGTCTGCTGGAGGGGGTGGACTGGCCCTGTGGGGCACTGGGGGGTGGCGCCATGGGCGGGTCTGAGGCAGCTGGACTGGTGTCAGGTTCACAAGGGGAGTCAGCGGCATCCTTAGGGTCCTGTGTGGTGAGCAGAGACACCTCGCTGCGCCCGAAGTCCACAGGGAACACGCTGTAGGGAGAAAGGGGCACAGATGCTGGGAGCCCCTGGACACACCCTTGGCTCCTGCATGCGGGGCCTCTGAGGGGAGGGTCCTGAGAGCACAGAGCAGGGCCGGGGGAGCAGCCAGAGTGGGAAAGCTGAGGGTCACCTGTGTCCTCGGGGGTCTCCGCCTTCAGGGTCATCCTGTGCCGGGTGAGGCCCCCTCCCCTCTGCTCCTTGGCACCCTCACTTCTTCAGGCCCAGGTCAACCCCAGCCCGTGCAGCCCCCTCATTCCCTCCTGCCTTCACCACCAGGCGTCGCTGTCCTGGGGGGCGGGGGGGCCAGCAGAGCTGCCCAGAGGTGCTCAGGCCACCATGGTCAGCTGCCTCAGGAGGCCGAGGCAGTGTGGGGGCTCCTGAGCTGGGGGGAGGCCAAATGCTCCATCTCCTGCCTCTGGCTGAGTCCCGAGCCAGGCCCTCTCTCACTAGCCTGGGGCCTGTGCGCTTCCCCCACCCACTGGGCGGCCCCTGCTTTGGTGCAGACCCTGACAGGGCTCTGGGCAGCGGCCTCTCCTCCGAGCCACAGTGTGCATGGCTGGGTGCCCCTCAGGCTCCTAGGAACCCTGAGACCACATACTCACCCCTGAGGCTCCAGGATGAGGCTGTTCCAGGGCCTCTTAAGTGGGGGGTGCCCGCTGCTGAGGACCTGCACCTTGTTGGGAAGCCGGAGCCCCGAACTCCCGTTCTGGGGAGAAAGGACATGTGTGCCTGTGGGTGTGGGTGCCAGGGGGAGCTGAAGAAGAGAGGGCTGTGGGGTGACAGGGATCCAGTGAGCCCCCACCCCCACACAGGGGGGGGTCTCAGCATGGTGCAGACTGGCCTGTGCTTCCCACCCCAGAGGGGAGAGGCCAGAGAGGAGCTGCAATGGCCTAGGGCTGCAAAGCGCAGCTTCCCAGTGTCATCGTGGGGTAGCCAGGTGTCCCCCAGGCTGATGTCCACCCTGTAGAACTCACCCCTCCCTGAGCCCACCCGGGACTCCGTGGGCCCCAGTGGATGCTCCTCTCCAGGCGAGCCCAGCAGTCAGGGCCGCTGCATGTGTGGGGCCTGGGCCCAGGGCTCTCAGGGCTGAGCTGTGGTCCTGGCCCGGCTCTCAGAGCTGCCGGCCTCCCCCTGACACCTCTGTCATCACTCAGAGCCCACGGGGAGGGGCAGTGGGGGGCACGTGGCTGTGGGCACAGGGGTACCGCCAAGGAGCCCAGGCTTCCCAGCGCCCTCACATTGGATCCTACCTGGAACAGGTGGCTCTTGCTGGGGCTGGGGATTTTCTCCTCCCAATGCTGGGCCAATCTGCAAAGACAGCGGGGAGGTGACAGCAGCAGGGACCTCGGGGCCGCTGCCCCGCGCCCAAGCAGGGGGAACCAAGGCCCACGACGAGGAAGTCACGTGTCCAAGGCCCCACAGGAAGAGGTGGACAGAGCAGAATCTGGGTGGGTCAGCTCTGGGGTCGTGACAGCCCCTGGGGTCTCGGGAACCCCACTCCCCGCCTACCATGGGGTCCCCTTACCTGTAGCAGTAGCTGCCACAGAAGCGCAGGATGGGGAAGAAGGCAAGAGTGATGAGGACCAGGAGGAGCGGCATGGCCCATGTGGGCAGCACTAAGGGGCATCCAGGAGGAAAAGGCCATTAGCATCCAGGCGGGAAAGGCTGGGGGCTCAGAGGGGAGGGGAGGGGGGCTCGTATGTGCAGGCACAGTGCTCCAGAACTCATTGCCTTGGGGTGCAGATGGAAAGAAGGGCCAGACTCAGGCAAGAGGAGGAGGGTGTGAGTCTGGACTCCCCATGATGTGGGTCCTGGGGAGGACCCACAGCACTTTGCTAAGTTACCTGGCCCATGTAGGTACACGCACACCACTTCTACCCCAGCACCCCAGTTTTGCTGCTCTGCATAAGTCCCCAGATAAGTTGCATCCTCAGATCTGCTAAAGTGTCACTCTACCAGGGAGACCTGGGTAGGCACATAGAGGGTTAGGGCCTGTCCCGTAGCAGGAGCTGCCAGAGGGAGGGATGCAGTGAGCATGAGGCCCATTGGGAGTGCCCTACACTTCCTACTGGGCAGCCTGGAACCCCTCATGGACTGGGCTTTTGAGGTTACCCCTTCCCTGGTCTAGACCCCCTTTTTGCTTTCCCAGGTCTCCTCCCCTGACAAGGCTGACTGAGGAATGGGGTCCCTGCTGCCAACGCCTCTGCCTGTCACCGCAACCACGTCGTGGACTAGTGTGTTGGTGTCCTGGTGGCCACTCTGATGCAGATGATGGACAATGAGAGCAGCCCAAGCGGGGAAATGGGAAGGTCAAGATTAGACAGAAGCTTCCAATCCTGGGCCTAGTAGGTAGCTCCTGATGCTGCTGCCATGGTAACAGGCATATCAGGTTTAGTGCTCTTCTGGGTAGTGACTTCCCAAGAGGCTAAAGAGATCATGGGTCATATTACTAGAGGCTTCAGTTCCAGTCTGAGGGAGGAGAGGTGGTGAAACCTGCTCTTTTGTGCTCTTTCAAGAATTCCTCTGCAGTCTGTGTTGCACATCAGATGTCAATTTCCAATAAGTCATGACACCTGGAGAATAGGATGCTCAGGCTACATGGGGTCATGTCTGTGTGTCTAAGCCACTCTTGACCTCTGTCCATCTGGATTGCAACATAAGGTAGGAAGCCAGATGACGTACCCCACTCAGTGTCCCAGGTGCACTCCTCACTCCACTCGCTCCAGATCCCGTTGTAGCCACTGGGGGTGGGCTTGACCCTCACCCTGGCCCGGTATTGGGTAGATGACTCCAGACGTGGCAGGGACATGCTGTGGGCATTCTGGAGTGATTCTACCTTGGTAGCCTGTGAGTCAGGTATGTAAACAGATCTGCTGAGGTTGCTAAGTTACCTGGCCCATGTAGGTACACGCACACCACTTCTACCCCAGCACCCCAGTTTTGCTGCTCTGCATAAGTCCCCAGATAAGTTGCATCCTCAGATCTGCTAAAGTGTCACTCTACCAGGGAGACCTGGGTAGGCACAGCACTTTGCACTGGACCCAGATTGACAGCTCCTAGAACATGCCCCCTGTGACGTGACAGCACTGAGGGCTACAGACCCCGAAGAGTCAGTTGTCCCTGCGCCCTTGAGTCACCTCAGCTTACAACTTCTTTGGGACTAGAGAACCCAACAATGGCCCTGTCAGGACTGCAGTTTAGGACACTGGACTATGGAGCCCTGGACGGGGGTTTAGAGGCTGGACCTCATTCCCAGCATGCCTGCTGCCATGCCCTCCTGCACATATTTCCATTGTGAAGGCCTGGGTCTGACTCTGAGGTTTCCTCTGGGGCACTGTGGAGTCCTGGGTCCTATATGCAAGCCCTGAGGACTGCTGGGTTTGGAGCTAGAACCTGTTGCCTGGACCCTGCCTGCTCCATCAGGATCAGCTCTGATCAAACTGCACGCTAGGGTCCCAGAGCGGCCTCTTCTGAAGAAATGTGCCAGGACTTGACATCGTCTCAGACCCCTCATGCGGGCATCTCTCAGCCTCCCCTCCCTGACCTCTGCACCCCTTTGCAACACAGCATCAGACAAGTCACATCCCCTCTCCCAGCCTCAGTTCCCTCACCTGCTGACCTGCTGATCACACAGTGTCATCAGCGCCAAGCCCCTGGATACAGGGGTGCGGTGGCTCCCCCTCTCCCACGCAGACACAACCACCCCAGGCCCTTACCTCCCACGAGGCTGCATCCTTCCTGTACTGGACCTGGAAGGTTTGCCCGATGAAGTCAAAGAGCATTTTCTCTGCCTCCCAGTGCAGCATGTACCCATGTTCACCCTTGGTCACATTGATGGTGGGGCGCGCCAGCTGGACTGCGGGGAGGGGGCATTTTAGGGAACGTGGCTCCTACCATCCCTCCAGGGGAACGTGCCGGTGTTGCATGCTGGTCACAGGTGTGTCCCCGGCCCAGACCTCACATGCCACCCATCTCAGGGCCTTCGTGTCCCTGAGTCACCATGTCATCTGTCTGGACCTCAGCAGCATTTCCCCGGGGTGAGGCTGAAATACACTTGCTTTGTAGTGAGGTGACCCCAACACTGGGTGACTCTGAGGGTTAAAGTGAAACTAAAATCACCATGAGCGGGTTAACTTCCAGAGTCTTGACCACCTGTGGGCACTGAAGCACGTGCTCAGAGTGCGTGATTATGTCACGCGACCCCACAGCCGCCCAGCGGGCGCTCTTCACCTCGCGCACGAGCGGGGCAGACGGAGCCCGGGAGGACTCGGCAACTGGCCCAGTGACAGGCAACTAAGACCTGGCGGGGGCAGAAGTCACAGCCGCACCCAGCACCAGGGAGAGGGGCATGCGGGCCAGGGGGCTGAGACCACCTGCTGCTGGGCTGGGCTCTGACACACTCGCGGCCTGGGCGAGGACCTGGACATGGGGAGCGGCGCGGGAGGCCCTTCCCCCGGCCCTGCTGCGGGAAAGGAAGCAACACCGTGAGCCCACGTGGGGCGGCCGTCCCTAGACACCCCCGGGCCCTGCTGGCCAGTCCTCGTCCGGCAGGGACCCCAGCCAGGGGAGCACTTGCAACCTGAGCAGTCCCGTCAAGGAGTAAAAGGCCAAGACGCTGGGGGCCGGGACAGACTCACTGTTCTTGGAGCTCTTGATGAGTTTCTCCTCGTCCTTGGGCCGCACGGAGACGGTGTAGTGGCCGTGGCCCCCGGGGTCGGGCACGGGGACCTGGCACCGGTGCCGGGTATAGGAGCCGCTGGCCTCCATCAGCACTGGGGAGCACTCCTTCTCCCTGAGGATCGCGGGGGAGGTGAAGGGTGGGGGGACACACACAGCAGGCGGGGCTCGGGAGGAGCCTGGACTCCGCTGGGGCCCAGGGACGGGAGACCCGAGCAGGGATGGACACTCACTCTCTGTCGGGGCCGGGCTTGTAGAAGAGGGAGAAGGACACGGAGCTGGTCACCTCGGACCTCACCTCCCAGGAGCAGCTGAGCGCGTCGAGCCCGTTGAAGAAGCACTGGAGGCTCTGGGGCTGCGCCTCGTCCCCTGCGAGCACAGACAGCCCCTGCTTCCTCGCCTGCTCCCTTCCCTCGCCAGCCCCCGCGGGCACCGCCAGGTGCCTCTGCACAGATCGTGGGCTTTGGGGCCAGTGAGCCCAGCGGTGACAGGGAACCCTGGACCTGCCAGCGGCCTGCCCGCGGGTCAGCGCGCACGTTCCAGAAGCTGCTCACCCGCCTGCGCCGAGCACTTAAGTCTCTGTGCGGGGCCGACATGAAGGTGGGGGCTGTTGCTCCCGGGGCAGCTCCAGGACAGACAGCTGGCCCGGAGGCATGGGCAGCGGCCGTGCGCCTTGGCAGCAGGGACTCAGAAAACCAGGCCCAGGACTGAGCAGGATGCAGCTCCGCAGTCAGCAGTCCTGGCGGGGGCGGCGTGGGGGCCGCAGAGCTCCCGGAACCCCAGGACACAGAAGATTCGGATCCTGCCCTGTGAAGCTCTGGCTTTGCCTGGGAGCGTCCAGAGCCGCTGTCCCACAGACAGCCCGGCCAGTCCCTCTCCTCACCTGGTGGGGAGTCCCACTGCACCTCGGGGCTCCAGTGGCTGGGCTGCCCAGACAGCCCCGAGCCTGGGGCCAGCCGGGCGCGCACTCGGGCCAGGTAGGGGCTGCTGGGCAGGAGGTGCTGGGGCCCCAGCGCGGCCTGGGTGGAGTTGGAGTAGATGGTGAGGGCGTCCTGTGGGGAGAGAGGGGTGCTGGAGCAGGGACTGGGGACCCTCTCCCTGGGGGTGCTGGGCAGAGCTGCCGAGGTCCCTACCTCCCAGCCGTCCTCAAGTCGCCTGTAGACCACCTCGTACTCCAGGTCCGACAGCCAGAGGCTGCCGGGAGGCCCCAGGGCCATGCTCCAGTTCAGCAGGACCTGGTCCCCAGAGGCTCTGATCTGCAGGTCCTTGGGCGCAGGGGGGCGCACTGCAGGGGAGGAGGGAAAGGCCCCTGAGGGGCTGCACCACTTGGGGGCAGCTAGGGGCCTGTGTGGCTCCAGCCTGGGGCAGACTGGCCTGGGCTGCGGGCTGCCCCAGCAGCTGAGTGACTCTGACGAGACCCCTGTTCTCCGGGAGCCCAGCTCTTTGGGCTGCACCCAGGGGCTGTCATGTGAGTGTGAGGCGGAGCGTTCACAGGTGCGTGCGGCTCAGGCTGGGTAAAGATGGCGCAGGCCCGCGCTGGAGGAGCCTCCTGGGTCCTCAGGGGCCAGATCCAGGATGTTGGCGTGTGGACTCCTCCAGCAGAGGGCCTGGGCTCAAGTTACTCCCCCCGCCCCCCACCGTCCCCAAGCAGCTCCAGGACCTGGCATGAATGACCCCTGGGACCCGCTAGGTCCCCCTCCCAGGCAGGGTTATGCTCCCTTGTCCCCCTCAGTCCCTGGACGGGCTTCAGGCTCCTGGTGGGGTCAGGCGCTGCCCTGTCTGCCTCTCCGGGTGCCAAGATGGGAAGGAAGGTTCTTGTGGGTGGCGGGGCTGGACACCAGCTTCCCCCCTCCCCCGGGACCTGGCGGGCTGGCTCATTGCGGGGCAAAGCGCATGAGTGAGTGTGAGGATCTGCAGGAAGGAGGTACAGAGCACGGAGGCCACTGCCAGGGGCTCTTCATGAATCCACGACGTTGACCACCAGCAAGTGTGCACCGGCGGGACCCTCGAGGTCAGGGAGCAGACCGGTTACTGAATGATATGGGCCCGCCTTCCCCGAGCCCCAGCTGAGTGAGCGCTGAGGGGTGACTTTCAAACACATGAAAATTCAGTCACAGCCAAGCAGGAGGCAAGTGCTCTGTGCTGGCCCCGGAGCTGGTCTGGGGCATGTGCAGCCGGTGTGCACAGCAGCCACTCGGCCAGAAGGCAGCTGGAGCAGTGGTGGGGCTCCTGGTCTGGGCAGGAAGGGGGTGCCTTTGCCAGGGGCTCCTCTATGTCCCCGCCCGGGTGCCTTCCTCACCGAGACCATATCGTCTCCCCTCCGAGATGGAGCCCAGCCAGCCGGTCTCCTCCCCTGGGAGACGCACTCCTGCCGGCTGGACCCCTCTGCTCACCAGGGGAGCGACCCCATGCTCACCATGCTGGGTCAGAGGGACGCTGATCTGGGCGCTCAGAGGCCGGTCTGGGCGGAATGAGAAGTAGTCTGTGTCCGCAAGGACGAAAAGTTTGTAGGGAATGATGCATTTTCGGGGCACACAGTCTGGACACGGGCCATCTAACCAGGACTTGTCATCACTGAGGTCACAGGACACTGGCTGAGGAGGGTCCCTGCCAGGGAGAGCGGGGGTCAGCCTGGGTGAGCAAGAGTTACCTGGCAGCATTGTTACTGAGTGGTTACCATGCTGAGGCCCTGGCCAGGGACGGGGGCCTGGCGGTGATGGAAATGGACATCCCAGCCCTCACAGCCGCCCCCCTGGTGGATGGAGACACACGCGAGCCCCCTGAGTATGTGTGTCCTATATCAAATGGAGAAAACTGCATCCAGACAAACGATGGGAGGTAGAGGAGTGAGGAGGCCAAAGGACAGGTGTGGGGATGCAATATGAAATCAGGGGACAGGGCAGGTCTCGTGGAAAAAGTGACATCTGAGCAGAAACTTTTAGGAAGTGAGGAAGCAACCTTGAAACTGGGGAGAAGGGAATGCGGGTAAAGCACAGCACATGCAAAGGCCCTGGGGTCTGCACAGGTGGAGTGCTGTGCGACTCGGCAGTTCCCCGGGAGTTAAGGTAGGGAGAGTGGGAGGTCTGAGAAAAAGGTTGGACAAGGTGCCAGGAAACCACTGCTTTAAAGGAATTTAAGGAATTTGGATTTGATTATAAATAGAAACAAATTTGATTACATAAATTTAGTTCTAAGCCATGCAATGACATATTTTGACGTATCCCTTAGCAGCACTGGCTGCTGGACTGTAGATAGACGGGGTTGAAGGAAAGTGTGTGTGGGTTGGGGGAGGCAGGCTGGAAGGAAACATCAGAAGCTGACGGGCCAGTTGGGAGGCTTCTAGAACATCCAGGTGACAGAAGTGATTTGAACCAGAGTGGTTGTGTTAGCATCAGCCAGATTCACCTTCTGCTTGAAGATAAAATTAGCAGCACATACTGGTGGCTTGGATGCGGGGGTGGAGCCACGAAGAGCTCCCATCAAGTGGGGTGAGATGGGGAGACAGGAGCAGGGGTAACCACGGGAATTTGGGTTAGAACATCTAGGGTGAAGACACTTATCGTCTACAGTAAGGTGGAGAGCCAGATGCACCCCTTCTGGCATTCAGTGGGGTGCGGGCTGGAGAAAGCATGTGAGAGTTAACAGCCCAGAGCCTGAAGTGGGTCTCCTGAGCACGGGCTGGACAGAGAGGGCTGAGGCTGCAAGGGCTGCAGGGGGCATTGCGCTGTCCTAGTCAAGGGCTACCCAAAGTCAAGGAGGGAGCAGGTCAAGCTGCCCACTAGATGCCCTTGGGGAGGGGGTGGCTGTCTTCCAAGGAGCAGTGGGGCAGCCTGTGGGGTGCAGCAGAATCCTGGATGAGGGGATCGGGGGAGAATAACTGGAAAGTCACTGGAGACAGGGGTCTAGACAACCCTTTAGAGGAATGTCCCCGCAGAGGGCAGTGAGACACCGGCTGGTGAGGACAGGGTCAGAGATGCTGAGCTGTCATCCTCAGGGGCGTCTGTCAAGGGGGGCCTGGCTCGCTGGCCGGGTGACAGGGCGTGAAAGCGGGAGAGGGGCTGTGTCACAGGGCAGAGGGGGACAAAGGTGGTGGGTCTGAGCTTGAGCAGGAAGGCTGGGGGGACCCCAGCTGTGGCCTCAGACAGGCCTGAAACTGGGATCCCAGCAGGGCAGGTCCAGGGAGGTGGCAGATGTGGGGGGAGTGAGATCAGGGAGGGGGCTTGGACTTCACTTTGGGGCTTTCTGTGGTCTCAAGCAGGAGAAGCAGGTGCCAGCTGAGGTGGGGGGGGGGTGTTGAGGATGGGGGAGAAGGAACTGTGGGGGCACCTGGAGAGTAGGAAAGAGAACTGAAGGCAAAGCCTTGGGTGTGAAAGTGGACTCCTCCCCAGGGGGCCTGCCGGGGGACCCCAGGACCCTGTGACACCAGCTGTTTAACTCTTTCAATGCCGGGGTGTTAGGAATGGCGCCAGGCCCTTCTCCAGCGTCACATGTCCTGAAGACCCCCCAGGGCAGAAAGGACCCCCGCCCCTGGGGCAGCAGGTCCAGGAGATGTGGAGCCCAGCCCTGACCCCCACAGGACGCTGGTCCCCTGGGCCTCTCACCCCCATGTGTCTGGGAGGGGGAGCCCACCTGCGAGCCTGGCCCGTGTGTGACCTGGGCATTGGCACCCCCGCCCCACTCGTGGGGTGCTGTGATCACTGGTCAGGGTGCGAGGTTCTCATCGTCTCCATCAGCAGCATCGCCGTGGAGAGAGGGTCTCCCCTGCAGCCCCCACCTCAATACCAGCTGAGCTGCCGGGCGGGTCTCCCTCCTCTGTGCTCAGGGAGCCCCGCAGGCACAGCCCCAGCACCCCAGCCCGCCCAGCCGGGTCACACTCACGAGTTGAGGCGGCGGTGGAGGGTCACATTGAGCAGGCGCCGGGCGGCGCGTGTGTCCGCCCACCTGCAGGTGATGCGGCTGTCGTAGTCATTGTGGCATCGCAGCGTCCTCAGCGGGGTGGTCCCTGACCCCAGACAGGTAGGAAGGGTCACGCCTCTCCTCCAGGTGTCCCTTGTTCTTCCCACCCAGCCTTCCCAGCCCCTGGCACTGGGGGTGAGGGCTCCCCCAGAGTCCTGTGAGGCTCCTGACTCCCCAGGGGCCCTGGGTGGGGGCTCTGGGCTGCGAGGACTCTTGTGTGGACTCTCCCATCTACATAGAACCTCAACATTCTGGTTGGTTCACGTCCTGAGCCTTGCTGCACTCTGCTCCTGGAGCAGGGTCTCCCCAGCTCAGGACAACGGGACCCCAGAATCCCAGGACCCCAGGGCAGGATGTGCCTCAGGCCCGGGTCTGCCCTGACTCCTGGGTGCAGCCCAGGGGGAGGCACAAACCCACCCTAAGAAGCAGTGGGTCACAGCCTTCTCCCAACCCTAGTCTCCGGTGGGCACCCCAGCTTGATGGTGGAAAGAGGTTGTGGTTCCCAGGTGACCCAGAAGCCAAGTTCTCTGGGAGCCTGGACGAGGGGGTCAAGGCCTCAGGAGCCTGAGGAGCACCCAGCTGGGGTTCCAAGCAGGGGAGGCTGCTGGGGCCAGGGCAGGGAGATAGCAAAGGGGCTCGGGGGCCCCAGCAGCAAAAGTTCTGAGGTAGGAACCAGTCAAGGTCATCAGAGGAGCAGGTGCCTGGGGGACGGCGGGCAGAGAAAAATCTGGAACAGCCTTTTGGAGGTTGGAGGTGTCCAGTGTCACCGCACAAATGAGATGGACTCAGGGGCCGGAGGGAATGAGCAGGAGTGTGGGGTGAGGGAGGGTGGGGGCAGGCAAGGTCAGGGAGACTGGAGAATTGAAGAAGGGGAGGGAGGGAGAAAGAGAGCAGGGCAGGGGCGGCCAGAGCTGCTGGGGTCTGGGAGCTTCCTCGGGGAGAACAGCCTCAACCCCAGGGTCCAGCTGCAGGGAGGGGGCCAGGGAAGGCGAGGGGCCAATGGGGCTCACCTTGGGCTGCTGCCATGCCGGACCCCCAGCACAGAGCCAGCAGGATGATGGGGAGCAGCCCCTGGGTCAGTGCCATCTCCGCGTCAGTGCCTGAGGAGCATGGGGCTAGCACAAGTGGGGTCTGGCTGTCGGCTCAGTCTGGGGTTCCTCAGTGCCCAAGAATCTTGTGTTCCTCTGACTGGGAGCCAGGTCTGACCCATGTCATGGGCTCTTGTGATTCTGTCTCTGGGGCCCTCTTCCTCTTGGCCTGTGGAAGGAGATGTTGCTGGGACTGGTCCTCCCTGGCTTGTAGCCCCAGAGCAAGGACGCTGTGGGCAGCTGGAGAGGCTCTGATGCGCAACTGCACCCCCTCTGGCCCCGGGCAGCCTCTTAGTGTCACTGTGCAGGGCATGGCCATGTTCAGTAGAAGTGGGTCCCCACGGGTTGGTGCCTTGGGCCCAGTGTGCACTGTGCTGGGCACGGGAATTCTTGAGAGAGAGAGGCCTGGGTTGCAGCTGCCCTGAGTTGCCTGTGAGCTCCCACCCCACATCTTCTCTTGGGACATCAGTGGGCTCCCCTGGGCATGATCACAGGGTGCACACTGCCACCCTCCCTCACACTCCCTATCTGTCACTCTTGTCCCTCGCTCCCTTTACAGTCATTCCTCCCACACCATCTCGAGTTCCCTTTTTTTGCAGAAGGCTGGGGATTTCCTCTTTTCATTTCCTCTGGCCCTGGGAAGTACCCTGAAGTAGAACAAAGGACAGTGCATGTACACGGCAGAGTCCGTGTTTCTGGGAAAAGCGCGTTCTGGACTCAGGGGACCTGAGCTTCAGCAGAAGCCCTGCCCCTCCCATGCCGGAGCTAACTCAAAAGCTCCCTGAACCTCACTTGCCACATCTGTAAAATGGGCACGAGGGCACATATCTCACCCAGCTCTCAAGAGGACAACCAAATGCAATAATGTGTGTAGAATGGTTGGTCTGATGCGTGCACAGGAAAAGAGCGGGCTTCTTTAGGGAAGTGTTTGTTTGCATTAGTGTCTGAAGCAGGGAGCAGTGCCATGGGTGAGGAGCATGGGGGCACTGGGTGGGCTGGTACAGCTAGGGCTGCCAAGCCAGGACTAGCCCAAAAATGCCAGAGCTTCTGATTGGGACCTTATCACAATAGAAATACCACATGTGCAAAGAGAGAAATTCATCTCCCAAAAGTCGTAGGTTTAAAACAATTTCATTCAAAATGTAGTGGGATTTTTTTTTGCAGGAATTCAGAAGAAAAAATATGTGAGGATAGTTAGACTTTTTTTAAGGATTAGAAGGCCCTACCCAAAGTAAAGTGTATTACAAGCTCTGATAATGAAAGCAGTGTGTGCACACACACACACACACACACACATCCATGGACATGCTGACCAGATAAACTCTATTTTACCCAAGAATCTAATACATGGTAGATGAATCACTAATCAATGCCAACTGATAGAATAATAAAAAGTGCTAATTCAAATGATTCACAACATAAAACTGATCAGCCTAAACCCCTATCTCACACCATCTCCAAATATCAGGGTAATTAAAAAATTTGAAAATAAAGACTTGCAACAATACAATCCACAGAAGCAGACTTCACAATATGTTCCAGGACATCAATCACAAAGGTGTTTTTTGAGAGTCAGCCACGAGGGCAAGTGAAATAAAAGCAAAACAAATAACTGCCACAAATAAAAAGCTCAAATAAAAAGCTTTTACACAATGAAAGAAAATGTAAGTAGCAAAAAAGACATCCTACTGAATGAGAGAAAATATATGTATTTTACAAACTGACAAGGGGTTGATATCCAAGCTCTATAAAAAACAAATACAAAACAATTACAATAAATGGGTAGATCTGAACAGACAATTCACCAAAGGAGATCTCCAGAAGGCCCATCAATGCTTCTACTATGGCAGATGCAGATGTGAAAACGACAAGGAAATATCATCTCACACCCATGAGGACAGCACACATTAGAAAACAACAACAGGTGCTGGAGAGGCTGCAGAGTAAGAGGACGCTTTTGCACTGTGGGTGGAAGCACCAAACTGGTGCAGCCATTTTGGAAAGCAATCTGGCTTTACCTTAAAAAACGAAACATGAAAATACCATAGAACCCAGCCATGCCACTACTGAGCATCTACCCGGAGAGCACGCAGCCATCCACCTCCAAGCCACAGGCCTGCGATGTTTGTTGCAGCGTTGGTCACAGTCGCCAGGATGTGGAGACGCCGGAGCACCCACAGGTGCGGGGCTGGCTGCGTGGTCCAGCCACACGATGGGACAAAAGCGTCTGTCGAGAAGATGCAACGCTGCCATTTCAACAAAATGGGAGGCGTTCGAGGGGCTTACATGTCATAAAGTGACTCAGAATGACACAGTAGTGGACATTTACATAACGGACAATTCAACAGAACCAAAATACTGATAAAAATGACTGACACTAATAAATGAAGTGAGGTTTCTTGAGGTCAAGAGGCAAAAGGGGGGGTGAGGATGGCGGTGGGAAAAACATGGCGAAGATAACTGTAAAGAAATTAAATGTAATATAAATTTTAATGTAAGAAATCATCTTAAACTTGCAAACCATGGAATTTAAGCTATTTAAGCTAAAAGCAGAAAAAATCAGAGACAAAGGCTGGTGGGCATACAAAAACCCCCAAATCTTCTGTATTTCCTGAGAATAATGGAACCATAAAGCAAAGGACAAAAATACAAAGCCAAAAATGTGTGTGCTGAGTTATGGAGAACAGGTGATTATCTTTACCCTGTAAAAGATATTTACATTTATGTTATGTCAACAAACTAATGCCATTCAAGGGCATAAGTGCTCAGTTCACATACGCACAGACCAGGCATCACTGAAAGGGCTCTACAGAGAGTGGCCCATCAGGGTGCAGGTCACTCTTAGAATGTCCACTTGCAGACAGAGCCCCATGACCACAAGCCAATAAGGGACAGGCTGGGTGGCATGGAAGCCACGTCAGTTTGCCTTGGAATTTGTTCTCTAACCCACACTGCCAACAGGGGTTGTTTTTCGCAATCGATGTCTGTCCTGACATATACTGACCCACCAGATGTGCCTCAGAGATGTACGTGCACAGCCAAAGCAAGACAAAACTGTAGGACATCTTGATCGCATCCTTGGGGAGATTTGAGAAATGACAACTATAGACCTGACCTCTAGGCAAAGAACAAACATGTAGAGTTTTAGGAATTTGAAAGTTTGAAATCATAAAAATTCCTAATAATGGGTCAAATCACAGAATGAACATGACAAATGATCATGTTACAAAAGCAGATATTGAAGATAGAGAGAATGGGCAGGTATGGGGAGTCCCAGAGAAAAGTTGAGACTTAGGAGAAAAAGATCCAACACCTACAAGTCCAGGACAGAGAGAACTGAGGGCAGGTGGGGTAGACAGTGCCAGCCTCCTCACTTTCCCCTACCTCCTTGGGAACAGATGCGTAGGCTTTACCTGAGTTTATTGCTGCCAAATAAAAATTTATCCTTCCTACACTTTCCTGTCACTAGTGGTCATGTGATGTGACTAAATGTTGTCCAGCAAGATGTGAGTAGACATCTGGTGTACCTTCCAAAAAAGGCTGCTTAAAGGGAGTGGCTCAGGAAGAGGAGTCCATTTTTGTCCTCTTCATTTTCCTCCTTCTTCCAACCTGCAACTAGGAAGTGATGGCTGGAGCACCAGCAACCATTTTGTATCATAAGGTTACCTGGAGGATGGAAGCCATATACAACAACAAGAAAGGACTTTGGATCCCCCTTATCACTGTGGAGCAACCATAGCAACCTGAGACTACCTAGCTCTGTATATCTTTTCGGTGAGGTGGGACAAATAAACTTCTTTATTGCTAAGTCACTATTGTTTGGGGACTTTCCATGTGCAACCAAACAATACAATTGAAAATAGAAGAAAATATCATAGGCTTTCAAAGAGACAGTTGACTATGAAAAGAGTAAGATTCATTTATAATTAGTGCCATGCCCAGTCACAGGTTGGGGAACTCTTCAGTCACCCCAAAATAAAAGGATAATTCTAGGAACTTCCAGAAGGAAACAAACAGGCTATCTTCAATGGAGCAGGGTCTGGTTAGACAGCTTTTCTCACAAGTGACCCTGAACTCTACGTAGGTAGTAATATCTTGAAAATACTGAGGGAAAAATACGTTTAAACCTAGAATCATAAAAAAAAAAAAAACAATCAAAAGTCAAGCTTACTTTGAAGTTCCAGAACAAGCAAATCCCAGCTTGGAAATATAAAGAATAAGGAAGGTTTTTGGCTCTTTTCTGAAAAATAGATTACTTCAGGATTTTTTTTTTTTTTAAGTGCAAAAGAGAAAGAGTCTGTGATACTGTGGCCAGAGATGAGCAAAGAAACCACATTGTGAAGCCAGGAAGACTTGTCACCGTGTGAAGTAGAAATAAATCTATGATAACAATGTTGAAGTAAAACTCAGATGACTTTAATGTGGGGGCTGGCTGTGAGGTTGGAGGTGGAAGCTAAGGAGAACTGAAAGCTTGTGCAGGAGCTGTCCTGTCTGAGAGGAACAAATGCATGTTAATCAAACCCATGTGTTGATGGAAAATGTACGTCAAATATGTGAGGATTAAAAATCACTAATCATGGAGAGCAGGCATGGAGCCATGGCCGCGGGGTCGGGTGTGGGGAGGAGGCAGAGGGAGAGAAGAGAGGAAACAAAGCCCTCCTCACTCAAAATTAACATGTACCCCCCAAATCCCCAAACTCAGGAAGAAATTTAATAGTGGGCATAAAAACTGGGAAGGGAAAAAAAAAAAGCAAAACACAAGTCCATTCCAGAAAAATTCATTTTTGAGGACAGTCTGCCAGAGACTTTTAAAAGAAGACTATATCCTGGCCACGCAGGGATTGTCCCAGGCGTGGGAGGAGAGCCACCAAGAAACAGGCAGATTGTGAAAGGAAAGGGGAGAGTCTGTTTTGACAGATGCATCTAAATTAATTTGATAAAGCACAAGGCTGTCTTGATTGAACAAATACTCCTCTGCAAGGGAGGCTGGCGTTCCCCGCTGTGTCCCGGAATCTTGCAGCAACATGAAGATCAAAGGGAACGCGGGAGACTTCCCCTCCAAGACACAAGGAGGTGGAGGGGCCCAGTGTTCATTCCCAGCTGTCAGCCCTCCCCCCACAGCAACTGAAATTGAAACTCAAAAAAAGTCCAAAAGGATTTTTGATGGGCTTGATAAGCTGATATTAAATGATAGCAAACTGAAGATGAGAGACTTGCTAAGTTCCCCAGGAGAACAATAAGGAGTATAATAGCAGGCAGATGGGACAGTCAGGAAAATAACCCAGCAGGAACTGGGGAGTCACACAGGCATGTCATGTCGCTGAGGGAAGAACGGGCTTCATATTCACAATGAATGGTGCTGAGACAATACGCTGATAATTCTTTAAGTCAGATGATTGCATATCACCCCTCCTTCTAAATGCCAGATGAAATTCAAAAGTCAAAATTTAAATGCTGAAAGCACTAAAAAATATTTCTTTCAAATTAGCGATTGAACAAGACATCAAAAGCAGAAAGCAATGGCCTCCCCGGTGGCGCAGTGGTTGAGCTCTGGGTTGCAAAGCTGCCCGCAGCCTCTGCAGCACCAGTTCGATCCCCGGCTGCTCCCCAGCCACCGGAGGAGGGTCCCGCATGGCGCACAGACATCTCCTGCCGCCCGCTGCTCCCCTCAGCAGTGTACTTCGGTCCTTTTGCCTGCTCTGCTCCCCGCCTGGCTCTGGTGAATTCTCTCACCCTCCCGCGCTTCTGACTGTACCCAGTGCTTGTATAAATAAATAAATAAATAAATAAATCTTTAAAAAAAAAAAAAGCAGAAGGCAAAAAGTAAAATTAATATAATAGGTTGGACTTAGAAGTGATAAGCACATATAAATAAATCATTATGCTATATCATAAATGAGTCACTCCTAAAGTTAACATGGAAAAGACAAGGAAATCATCAAAAATGAACAGAGTTTTCCATGCAAAGCATAAGAGGAATTCAAGTGACTGATAAACCCGCGGACGATGCACCGTCATCCTTGAACACGGCAAGGGAAACCGCGAGCCAGGGCAAGTCACTGTCATTCGCTCCAGCGAACAAGTGAAAAGATGGGCAATTTCCCCAAAGACAAATGAGTCTTTTTAGGCACAGCATTGGGGTGGATGTTAATTTAGTGATGAGGAGGATGGTTTCATAATATCTGTGAAAATTTAAAATGCGCAATCTCCTGTCTAGCAATTCTGTTTCTAGGAAACTGGGCTGCCAGAAACCCTCTCACTAGTGAGGAAATATTGGAAACAACCCCAGTGCCAGCTGTGATAGGACTGGGGCAGCTGACATCATGCCCTTGCTAATGAAAGCCATGTATTTTTTAGGGTTCACCAGCGAGTGAGATCTGTGTGTACTACTGAGGAAAGTTGTCCAAAATGTGCATCTTATAATCCCATTTATAGGCAAGAAAAGCTCTAGACTTGGACCACGCTTAGCGATGTTTTGGAAGGATGCAAATGTTGGGCAGAGTGGGCTGTGGGACTACGGGACAGAGATGAGGGGGATTTGTCTTTAAAAAAAAAAAAAAAACATCTATTTATGCATACAAGAGCTGGGGTACAGGCCAGAGGTGTCAGGGCAGGAGAGGATTCACCAGGGACAGAGTGGGGAGCAGAACAGGCAGACTGCCTGAAACACACTGTGAGGGGAGCACTAGGCGAGTCGGGAGAGGTCTGCTGCACCATGTGGGCAGCTCCCTGGCCGTGGACCAAACTCGTGCTGCAGAGGCTGCGGATTGCTTCATGGTGCTGTGCTTAATCCCTTGCGCCACCAGGGAGGCCCCAAGGGGGATTTGTCTTCATGCTACATAATTCCGGTTCATTCGAATTTCTAATTAAGCCTATATCTGTGAGTTTATTTCAGACATGCTCCCTGAACAGCTACAGACTGTCCTGCAGTGCTGGTGGGTATAGGAGAAGGTAAATCAAACCAAGGGGTGAAGAGAGTGACCGGAAGCTAATAGGAAAGGTTGAATTCCTTATAAAATGATTAGAAACCAGGAAAGATGATAAGTAGAAAATATTAGAATCTGGTTATCCAAAAATATAACAGTGGGGCTTTGGAAGTGAAAAACTTACATTTTGGTGAATCTCCCCTGCCGCCTGTCTGGCAAGCCCCCATAAGCTTGTACCCCAATGTGGACCCACAGAAACATCTGCCGCTCCCTTCCACATGAAAGTACACACTCCTGCACCCACCGTGACACAGATACCCCCAGCGCCCAGACACCTGGCCCACACACTTGGATACAGAACACACATATCTGGACCCAAGCCTGGATGCACAACAGTTTTCAGGGTGGAGTGTGATAGTAAAAATCATCCTTTCATGGGGAGCAAAGTCTCTGGGCAAGGAACAGGGCTCTTGCTGCCTTCCAGCACCAGCTCTGGGCTCAAGTACAGCAAAACTCCAGGTTCACCCTCTGCCTCCCAGCCTAGCTGTACCTCTGCAATGTCCCCCACCCCTCCCTCCGCCCCAACATACACACACACTTTCCAAACCAGGACATCAGGGCCTATGGGTGTTCTCTGCCTTCCAGAGATGAGGAAACAGAAACTCAGGGCAGGGTGAGAATGTTCTCACCACCATAACACTTTAGGGACAACTTTGTGACAAAACAGAGACTCCCAGGCTGAGCTCTCTACTCCCACAGGCATCCTCCCTGCTGCCAGGACAGTTGGACTCCACTGGACAGGCCTGGCCCCTAGAAGCCCTTTGCATATCACCCAGGCAGGTTGGCACCCCTCCTGTCTCTGTGCCCACTGGCTGCCCAAGGAGTCTGGTCTTAGGTCTCCCAAGAGGCCAAACCCTAACTTCTCCAGTCCCCAGAGCACCCTGCCTACTTAACAGTCCTAGGCTTTCTCTGCCCTTTCCATCCCAGTCTCCCCACACTCCCCCTGCCCACCACCCACCTTCCAATCTGCCCCTCAAAGCCAGACCTTACCTCTTGGTGGTGGGGCAGACCAACCTTCTGCTGGAGCCTCCAGGGGGCAGCGAGTTTCTCAGGCTTCCTATTTATGCTGACGTTGTTAGGAAACAACAGAAAGAGGAAGCAACACTTGCCAGCCCTTTTCTACACAAGAGACTGTGCATACGATTGCCTGACTTCTTAGAAATGTGGACACAAAGACACCAAGTTTTTTTCTAAGTTTTACTGGCTTTGTAGGTGGTGTTCCCTCTGCCAGAACCACTTCTGCCTGCTTTGTCTCCTGTAAACTCCTACGCTGCCACTAACTGTCAACTCAATGCAAAGTCCCTCCATGCAGCCTTCCCGGATGCCTGGGGGCTGCAGTGGGAGGAGGCTGCACTGATCCAGGCAGGTCTGGGCTGGATTCCCCTCTCTGCTACTGCTCAGAATATGGCCTGTGAAAATCACCTGCTTGGAACTTGTCCAGATCCCTGGAGCCACCCTGCCTGTCACTTACAGAGAGGCATCTACAAACACTGAAGGCTGTAGAAGGAACCAAACTAGAGACTGCATGTAAGTCCTTCCCTCAGAGCCTGGCCTCTGCCAACCCCCAAGGGTTGGCAGCATTATTTTGATATCCCTGGTGTCCTATCCCTTTGTACCTCCTCACACTGCCCCCCAGGCTCCAGGGCCTTCCCCACTACTATCTGGTGTACATTCACATTTCTCTCCCTGGCACCCAGCACCATCCCTGGCACGGAGCAGACTATGCGGAATGAATGAATGAGTGACTCCCTGAGCTCAGCAACTGGGATTAAGGCAAAGTGAGTAGTGCACCCCCTGAGGTGCAAAATTGAAGGGGGCACCAAAACACTCAGCAATTCAGATTAATAATATTTAAATGCTATATCTCTGTCACACATTTACACCAGTTACATTCTGGAGGAATGTGAGGCAGAAGGAAAGGCTGGGCTGTTTCTCCTGAGTAGAGACAGCAGGAGAGAGGAGGAGGGCGAGTCCCAGAGGAGAGCGCCTGGGGGTGGGGGGGCCAGTGAGGAAGCCACTGGACTCTTGACCTGGTTGTTTTCTGTTTTCCTCCTGCCAGGAGGGCCACCCCTGGCCAGGAATGTTTGGAATGCCCTTCCCAGGTGGAGAAAGTGCAGGCTGGAGGGCATCACGGTGGTGGCAGCGCCCATGTGGTATCCACACTCCTGCCTGGGGAGTAATCACTTCCTGGGGAAGGGGGCAATAAAGGCGTCTGCCCAGGGCTGGGGAGTCCCCGCTTCTCTCCCAGGTGCTCCCACCCAGCCTGTCCTCCCCGAGTTCCTGTCTCGGGCTGGCCAGGCTGACGGTTGGGACCACAGAAGGGGCCACATCCAGGCCTGGCCACCAGGAGTCTTTCAGGAGGAGAGGGACCTGCTTATAAAGAGTAAATCAATAAAATCTGATTAAAACAAGACACCCCCAAATGGCCAGTGAGATATAGACATCAGCAAGGAAGTGGTCAAGTGTTCCTCCGTGTTCCGCCCGTGGCCTGGCTGGCACTTGGGTCTGAGGAAAAGCACAGGAGCTGGGCTTCCCGGGATGGCTGGGGTCCTCCTGTCCCAGGGCCTGGGAAGGTCCATTCATTGCCCTGAGGGAAGGACTAAGCCTTCACTGCCCACCAAGACAGGATGAGAAACCCACACAGGGGAGGCTCCTGGTTAAAACCTGCTTGTGAGTCTCAGGCCGAGCCCTAAGTGACGAGACAGCTTTCCCTGCCCTCCCACTCTGGGCTCAGGGCATATGCTTGGCAGGTTTTAGGGGGTCCCCCAGCCTGTCATGGCATCTTCTAGGGGGGCCCCCGAGTCCGTCATGCTCCTTCACACATTTGCATTCCTGGGCCTCTTATCTGAGGTCTTGGCCACAGCTCTTCAGGCACCTCCTCGGAGGCTGCCTTATGGGGAAGAGAATCACCTGGAAATCCCTGTCCGTATTCTCACTCAGCGCCCTGCACTCACCCCCACACCTAGTCTTCCGCCCTCTCCCTCATCCGGCCCAAGGGTCGTGCCTCGTTCTGGCTCCCTCAACAGCAAAAGCCACCATCTGACCCTGGAGAGACACCCTTTCTATGTGACAACGGAAGAGGGGGCATCAGTGCTTCCTTCCTTACACTTTTTTTAAAGTAAATTTTTATGGAAGTAACATCGATTAGTAATATCACACAGGTTTCAGGTGCACAGCTTTACAATATAACAACTGTATCTGCTCCACCGTGTTGACCAAAAGGCTGGTTTTCTCCTGCCATCTTGCTTACACCACAGCAGCCAGTGGTCAAGGCTTAACTCTTCCCATCAGGGGCGACTTGCTGCCACTGGCCGCTCCCGCACCTGGGGCTTGCTCCCCTCCCAGCTCAGCTCCTGACAATAATTCACACCCCTTCCTCAGGCGCACAGGCCCCTCGGCCTCCCACCGTCCTGTGTGACCAGGGCCCTGCAGCGCAGTGGCCCATAAGTGAACTTATCCGGAGGTCCCAGTGCTCAGGGTTTTTTTTTTTTTTTTTTTTTAAGATTTATTTATTCATGCATACAAGAACCAGGGTACAGGCCAGATGTGTGGGTGTGGGGGGGTGAGATGATTCACCAGAGACAGAGTGGGGAGCAGAATAGGCAGATGGACTGAAACACACTGCTGAGGGGAGCAGCGGGGAGACTGGAGAGGTCTGCTGCGCCATGTGGGCATCTCCGCGGCTGGCCAGGATGGAACCTGTGCTGCAGAGGCTGCCGACAGCTTCACAGCGCTGCGCTCAACCACCCGCGCCACCAGGGAGGCCCCCAGTACTTAGGTTTTAAAGCCAGAGTTGTCTAGACATGTAAATCGGTGAAGATTCTATGGAAAAGCGTATGAAATTTCCTAAAAAAGCCAGAGGCGAACGCCACGTGTTCCAACAATAGCACTTCCAGATTTTTATCCAAAAAACATAAAAACATGGATACAGAAAGACGTGTGCCCTGTGTTCACAGAGCACCCTCACAACAGCCAAGGTGTGGAATCCACCCAAATGCCCAGGTGCATTGCTAAGAAAGTATGGCCTACAGCCCCAGTGGAATATTACTCAGCTATTAAAAAAGATGAAATCCTGCCTTTTGCCACAACCTGAATGCTCTTGAGGTAATTGTGTTGATGGAAATGAGTCAGAACTTGAAGGAAAATGACAGATGGTTTCAATCTTTTGTTGACTATAAATAACCAAAGATAACAATCTGGCAAAACACAACAAAAATAACTCTGAAAAAGATGGTGGGGGTGGGGGGAGCTGGGGAGGGAGGCAGGGACAGAGGGGTTCTGTGATAGGGTCCTAGCCTGGCCCTGTGGGGTGGGTGAGGAGGGTGAGAGAGGCCGGGCACCTGTCAAGGTGCGGAGCTAGTTATGTGGCCAGGTGGTAGTCAATACAACTTGATTTAAAAAAAAAAAAAAGCAAAAAACAAAAAAAAATTGCCAGTGATATAAAACCAAACCAAGAAGAAGCAAGTCAAGCAAAAGAAAATAAGAAAATCTTCCTCATGTTCCCAGGGGCCTTCCCTGGGGTGTGAGACCTCACAGGGGAGACAGGCCTGTGGTGACTGACGGTGGTTCTGGCTGCGGGGCCCGGAGGAGGCTCGGACCCCGAACCCCCCGCCTGCCCTGAGTGTCGGGGAGCCTAGCTCCTGTCCAGCGGGGACCTATTTTTTCCATATATTAAGAAAATGTCTCCTCTATTGACATTTAAATTTTGTGGATGCACAGACTCGCAGGCACACAGATCTTGAGGCAGAGACGTGTATAAACCTACATCCTCATGGAACCACCACCGGCTCCAGCACAGAACATCACCAGGTCCCAGAAGGCCCCTCTGTGTCCCCTTCCCGCCACTGGGTTTCAAAAGTAACCACTTTTCTGATTTCTCTCACTGCAGATTAGTTCTGTCTGTTTGGCTTTTTTAATCGTGGGAAGTGATACATCAGATGGAATGGATGGCGAAATGGAATTTGTCATCATGACCATTTTAATGGCTTTAAATACAGTGAGTGTAATGGCGTTCTGGGAGGCCACCACATCCCCTTAAACATTGTCCCCACCTGTCTACTTTCTGTCTCTCTGAACGTGACTCCTCTGGGTGCCCCATGGAAGCCGGCCAGGAAGGTTTGTCCTTGGGGGACGCCACGTTCACGACCACTGTGTCTCCGTGGTCCCTCCACACTGCAGCCTGCGTCAGAATTTCCTTTGTTCAGGTTGAGTGCTGTTCCCCTGCGTCTGTGCACCACAATTTGTTTATCCAGTGTCCGATGGTGGATATTTGGGTTGTTTCCACCTTTTGCTGCTGTGAGTTCCGCTGCTGTGGCCAGAGGCGAGTACCTGCCACGTCCCTGCTTTCACTTCTTTCATGCGCACGCTCCTCAGAAGTGGGCCTGCTGACCTGATCACGGAGGCCTTGGATCGAAAGTTTGAGAATCGGCCTTACTGGATGGTGCCTGGTATGGAACCTCCCTTGTATGGAATCATTTTATTTTGATTGCCCCCAGCTTTATTTAGGTATAATTGACACGTAATGTGTCCAATATTGGGCCTCCCTGGTGGCGCCAGAGGTTAAGCCTCAGCACAATGAAACTATCAGCAGCCTCTGCAGCACGAGTTCGATCCCTGGCCAAGAAGCTACCCACGTGGCACAGCAGAACTTTCCTGTCTCGCTGCTGCTCCCCTTAGTAGTGTATTTTAGTCCATCTGCTTCTTCTGCTCCCCACTCTGTCTCTGGTGAATCCTCTCACTCTCCCCCACCCCCCACCTCTGGCCTATACCCTGTTCTTGGATGTTGTAGGGTAAAGAAAAGGTCAGGCTTTTCTGCCCTCCCGCCATCAGGATAGATGAGGGAACCCTGCGGTCCTGAATGCATGCCTGATGGCGGGCACCTGGAGTAGGGTGTGGGCAGATGTAGATAGGATTCCCCTGGGCTAAGACTGGGCTTTTAAGGGCGGCGTCACGGGGATGCCAGCAGAAGCTGAGAAAGCAGCCGAAAGAGAAGCCGAGAGAGAAGCAAAGAAGCAGAAGCAGAGATCACCGGAGAGCCCAGATAGAATGAGGATTTGCTGGATTTGCAGCATCCCTGCCTGCTGTATGCCTGGTGAACCCCAATAAAAGACCTGCAAAAGCCACTGAGGACTCTGACTCCTCCTTTACCCGGTCTGCATGGGATCCTAGAAAACCTGCTCAGTGGCCATTCCTGCCCCTTACAGATGTATAAATAAAATAAATATTTTAAAAAATAAAGTATCCAGCATGCTCATTGGATACACTTATATGTGGTGAAGTAATTACCCCAATAAGGAGAACTAACCTTCTATCACCTCACATCCTCACCTTTTAAAAACATCTCTTCAATTACAGCGTGTGGTGTTGTGAAAGCGTCACTATTGCACCTCAGCCCCCAGAGTGGATTTATCTTATAAGTGCAGGTTTGTGCCCTTTGACCAACATCACATTCCCCCATCCCGCCCCCTCCCTTGCACAGAATCATTTTTCACTTGGTTGCACCTGAAGTGCTTCAAGCATTCAAAGTCCCAGGCGGAGGCTCACTGATACCAGGACTGCTCACCAGCTGCTCCGTCCTGCGTGTTCATTCTGACTTGATGGCACCACAGGTAACCCAGGTCTCACCCTGAGATTCTCGTCCAAAGATCACCTGCAACTTGGGCGGCGCTATCAAAGTGCAGATGTTAGGCTTCCTGATTAAAGGAGTGAAGTAAACCCCTAGGCTCTACCTTCCTGATATCAATCAAAACATAAACTATTGCCTGAGAAAACCAGGCAAAGATGTCCCAGCAGCCACCAAGCCCCAGTGGAGGTCGTGGACGTGACTTTTCTCTTGTTCTCATTATGCAGAACGTAGGAAAGTCATACCACAGGTCACGGCTGCCACAGGGCATGCCTCTGACCCTTAGTCAAAAGCATACTGAGAAAGAGTGAGTCAACAAGTCCCAGCAGAAATAACCTCTGTAGAGCGAGGAGCTGCTTGAGGGGTGAAGTATGAGGCCTCTGCATTTCCAAAGAAAGGGCCTCAAGGCCTTGCATACCACCTGCGTGGGATTTAAAAAAAAGTTAGCCCAGCCTTCATGACTCCACTGTGACTTTCCACAGTGACTTTCCAGGATGCTGGAAGGACTGGGACATGGGTGGGTATCCTCCCTGAGATGCCAGGGTCCTTTTATCAGAGTGCCCCTACATCCTAGCTAGACTTCGTCTTTAAATGCCGGTCTTCTGAGCATGGAGGGAATTCTCTAAGCCACACACCCCGGTGAAAACAACAACAAAACCACAAATTAAATCAACAAAAATAGTGAGCTGAAACCTGAGTCTTAAGTGAACAGGAAACATGATGTTCAGTTTGCTGTTAGTGCAAACGCTCATCAGTGGTTTGACCATCTAGACTGGAAGCCTCA